TTTTAGATGAGCTCGATATGGTAGAAAAAGGATGCTATTATAAGGGGTAGGGGTAGGGGTGGGTGAGGCTGGCTGGTTAAGTCACTTGGTTAGAGTATGGTGCTGATAACACCAAGGTCAAGGGCTCAAGGGTTCAGATCCCCTTACCAGCAGGCTGTCAAAAAATAAAAAAAAGAAATTTATAAGAGGAAAAAAGACTGGATTCCACAAGTGTGGTATTTGGAGCAAAAATGGAAAACCTCCAGCTTTTTGTGTGTGTGTGTCTGTCTGTCTGTCTGTTCGATACAGGGAAGCTTCTTGATATTGAGAACAGCAGTATAAGGTCAAGGGTTCAGATCCCTGTACTGGCCAATTGCCCAAAAAAAAAAAGGCAGTATGGGCCACTTTGCTCAGTTGGTTGGAATGTGGTGCTAATAACACCAAGGTCCAGAGTTTGATTTCTGTACTGGCCAGGCACCAAAAAAAACAAGAAAAAGAATGGCAGTACAAACATCAAATTATGCTTTGTGTATCTCTATTTTGTAATACAAGTATTGTCAAGAATAAATGATAATAAGTGACGTAACTGTGAGACTACGCAAGAACACAATTTTTTTTTTTTGTGCCTGGCCAGTATGGGGATCTGATGTAATACTTGGTAATTTCAAGTTTTAAAATTTAATTTTAGTCATAAGCATAATAGGTACAAAACAAACAAAACAAACAAACAAAAACCCTGGAGTTCAGAGAAGTTGCAAATTGTTAAAGGCGCCATGATAAAATAATACACAATATCATGATACCTTCTCTTCTGTATAAACCTATAATGGAGTTCCCTCTGTGGTTTATGAATGCATGGTTTATGATATCTTTTCTGATAACTTAAGGATAGAAGAGAAAAAAGAATGATGGTTAAGTACCTAGAAGTATTTCAAATAATGGGACAGCTTCAAAATACTTTAAAGAAAATGTACATGCATTTTTAATAGGCAAAGTACATTATCAAACATGTATCAGAATACAAGGCATGAAGTAACATGTAGTACAATTTTTTTTTTCCCCCTTTTTTGTCTTTTTTCGTGACCAGTAACGGGATCGCAACCCTCAGTGTCGCGCCTGTACCGCGACCAGCAACGGGATCGCAACCCTCGGTGTCGCACCCGCACCGCGCTCAACCAGTGAGCGGACCGGTCTCCATATGGGATCTGAACCCTCCGCGGGAGCGCCGCCACACTCCCAAGCGCCGCACTACCGAGTGCGCCACCGGGCCGGCCCTAGTACAAATTTTTAAAAGGCAAAATATTCACTGCACTAGAAAGGTAACAGATTACAAGTCACACTCAAAATCTAATATTTGTCTCTTAGCATTGAATGCTGATTGATAGACTGGAGATTTTTATAATGCTAGTGATATATTTCATACCAATAATTATAAAAACAAACTAAACTTGAATAATATTTCTGAAATTCAAAAATGGTCAGGTTCAAATGTTAGCAAGCAAGATGTAACACAATTGGGCAGGTCACCCATAAATCCATGGGTGACCATTTTCTCAGATGATTTTCGAAGTCAGATTCTTGATACAATTTGCCTAGGAATACATGGCCTGTTGATTAGACCCCACTGATGTTTCACTAGAGTGCTGACAACAGCATGTTTTTGGGGGTGGGGTAAACTACAGAGTAGTATTTAAAACTAGACTGAATAAAACTGGTTTTCTTTTGAAAATAAACATCATTCCAAATAAAGTTTATATTATCTCTAATTCCATTTTTCAGTAACTTTTTGAAGTACCCTCATATACCATGTTTATAGCTGCATTATTCAAGTAGCTAAAAGATAGAAATGACCCAAATGTATATCAACTCATGAATGGTTAAACAAAATGCGGTATATCCATACAATTTGATACTATTCAGCCATAAAAAGGAAGTACTGATTCATGCTAAAATATGGATGAATCTAGAAAACATTATAAGTGAAAGAAACAAGACCACATATAGTATAGTCCTATTCATAGGAAATGTCCAGAATACACCTATCTACACAGAGACTGGAAGTAGATACTGGTTGCATATGGCTGGGGTGCTGGGGCTGGGGTTGGGTGGGGAGTGACTGCTAATGGGTACGATGTTCTTTTTTGGGTGACGAAATGTTTTAAAATTAGATTATGGTGACTGCATAACCCTGTGAATACGTAACTGAGCCAAAGAGATCTGAGTTTTGTTGCTCCTCAAGCCAAGAGCCAATCAGAGGGATAAGAATAGTGCCAGGAAGAAAGATTTTATTTATGGCCGGGAAGAATGGGTGAGCAGAGTAGCAATGTCAACCCACCTCCCCAACTGACTAAACTTCAGGGGCTTTTGTTTGTTTGTTTTAGTTTAGGATTTTAAAGGGAAAAAAGGTTGGATCTCTGTACCAGTTAGCTGCGAATAAATAAATAAATGGAAAAAAGGAATGCAGGTATGTGTAGGGAGGTAGTGACGGGGGGGAATCGAGGGGTTTACAAGTGGCTTGAGTCAGAGGTCAGGATTCCATAATGAACAGGGTTCTTGGCCTCATGGTGTCTATTGCTGGTGGTTTGGTGAACCTCAAGTCTCTATTATTTCAAAGCTAGAGTCGTTATGTCCTGGGAGAAAACTCAAAGACAATGACCTTAGCCAACATCACTGGAACTTTAAACTCCCTGACTCAGACTCTTGACTAATATGTATGCCTAACACAATCTTCTCTAAGCAATACTACAGGTTAATAATCAGCGTGGCTTTTCTTTGAAATGCCTTTGTTCGAAAAGGTTGATTAACAAAGCGGGAGAACAGCAGGGAGGATCAGCTCTGATTCATAACCTTTGAGAATATAGAAGCTACAAAAATGGGCACAGGGAGGAAAGAGGAAACTAAGAGAAATCCCTTTGGGGGCTCTGTTTCAAATACAGTAAAAAACTATTGATTTATACACTTTAAATGGGCAAACTTGGACTAATGAGTATAAAACCATGCTATCTATTCTAAGTGAGTCATTGTGTAGTATATGCATGTATTGAAACAACACACTGTACCTCACAAATATGTAAAAGTAAATGTTAAAATATTTTGAATTTAAAAAATGGGTGAACTTTATGGTATGTAAATTATATCTCAATAAAGCTGTTAATTTTTTTTAAATGTTATATTCTGTTTCGTAATAAATTTTTCTGGGATGTAAAAACATTGTATTAGTCCGTTTTTGTTGCTTATAACAAAATACACAGAACTTTGTAATTTATAAGAAAATGAAATTTATTGCTACAGTTTCTGAGGCTGGGAAGTCTAAAGTCCAAGGAACATATCTGGTGGTGGCGACGGTGACTCAGAGGTCTCACACTGCAAGATGGTGGAAGCAGAGAGATATTAACCTCCTCATCTGCTATTCTTTTAAAACCCACAGAACCATGCCCCTGACCACTATTATTAATCCATTTATTATGGCATGGTCATGCAATCTAATCACCTCTTCAAGGTACCACCTTTCAATTACCATAATAGGATTTCCCACCCTCACTAGTTTCAAAGGGGATTTACACTTCAATGAGGGGGGGGGGGCATCCAGCCTACAGCAAACATCATCAGCATCTTAACTCTTCCCCTAGGATTTTGGTGGTAAATTTTGATAATACAGTAAATATCATAAAAGGCAACCCCAAATCAATGATTAGTATGAAACACTGTTCATCTGCTATTGGTAGTAGAATTTTTTTTTTTTTTTGACCGGTAAGGGGATCACAACCCTTGGCATAGTGTGGTCCGTACCACGCTCAGCCAGTGAGTGCACCGGCCATCCCTATATAGGATCCGAACCCGTGGTCTCGGCGCTACCAGTGCCGCACTCTCCCGAGTGAGCCACGGGGCCAGCCCGTAGAAATAATTTTTAATACTGGGTTGACATTTTCGAATCCAGGTTGACTGCTTCCCAAAATGACCAAACCTCTACTGCCCCCATTAAGAAGAAAAAGCGGCTGGCTGATTAGCTCAGTTGGTTAGAGTGGGGTGTTATAACACCAAGATCAAGGGTTCGGATGCCTGTACTGGCCAGCCGCCAAAAAAAAAAAAGGAAAAGATGACATAATTATTTCTTCAACATGTTCATTTTATACATCAGGATGAAATTAGGTTACAGATCTGTCCCATGGATTAGGGCTATTTACTACACCTCATTAGAGTCACAAGACTTTGCAGGAAGCTAGCTATAGAGATTGAAATGTGAACTTCTAATATTTTTATACTTTTCATGATGAAATTTATCCAGACTTATTTATAAAGGCCTTTTCAACTTATAGTATATTGAGAAAGAGCTACATAGGAATGAAAATGAAAGATTTTTTACAGCAACTTAAAAAAATTATTATATTATTTTTTGGTGGCTGGCTGGCAAGAGGATCCGAATCCTTGAGCTTGGTGTTTATAACACCACGCTCCAATCAATTGAGATAACCAGCCCTAAAACAAGTTATTACCACTTGTACTACTTACAGGTTTTCCTCTAGAAAAATATTTTGATTCATAGTTATTTCTTAATCTTGGAACAACTTCTTATCAGATATACTTTAAGTGCCTGAAACATCTTTCTCATTAGCCAATATTACCTCTCTAAGAAATGAAAACTAGCTCAAATTTAACCTGAATGCTACATAATTTGGAATGTACCATTAAAATATTTATCACGTTTTAAAGAAAAACATACATTATTTTTAAATATCTGCTTTTTGTGATTATTGGTACATCTTTTTATTAGTATATTTGAGATTATCTTTTTTTCTACACACTCAAATCTCTGTTCACTCGTTTTTTCAGTCCCACAACTATTTCTTTTTCCAAAAGCCAGGAATTTTTACAGCAACATCTTGTTTCCGTTTAAATAAACATCAAGACTAGGAGAGAGAGTGAAGCTAAGTGACCTAAATTCTATGCCACAAGAAGTCATTACATATGCATAAACTTTTAAAGAAATGCCAAAATTTGCTAGAAAGAAGAAAAAGGTACAATGAAGGTTTTGAGTAGCTTTTTATTATTTTTATTATTCAGTTTAAGAAATCTATTTGTGAGCAAATTATAACATTATGCAGAACACAGAACTTATATGAGAAGAAGTTCTTTACCACACCTTCAGAAATTACTACTACAAGTTCACAGCGCCTTATCTGAAACATTTTTGGCTAGATATGTTTCAGAGTTCAGAACTTTTCTTAGAAAGGTGTGTCTGCCACATATTATACAACATATCCAGCAAGCTGCACTGTAGCGAAACACTTTAATATTTCTGTAGAAAACTTATGAATATTCACACCAAGTGAACATTCAGTTACACATTGCCTCAGTTCCATTCAGGTCAGACTTTACCGCTAAAGGAACTAGGAAAGACAGATAAGGGACTGGGGCTTGTAATGACATGTTAATTTGAAATCCAGTTTTTAGTTCAGAGTCAGTGTAAACTTTTGGTCTTTCCTCCCACAAAAATAAAAGTGTATTTAAAATTAAAAGTGAAACTTAATATATTTTATTTCAGGAGGTAAATGTAAAATGGTAACCTGTGAAACTAAGTGTAACCACATTATGATCTTTCCCTAGACCTTGCCTAGCTCCACTGGATGAAAATTCCTTTCCATTTCATGGCGCTACAGTAAAAGACATCAGATCAGCCCCAGGCTTGCAGCGTGAGCGTCCCTGGGGGCTTCAAGGATCTTGAGTAGCATGAAGACCTGTAGAATGGCAGCGCGACCTGGGATGGCTTAGAGTGCTGCAGCATATCTGAGCTGGACAAACTTCAGTATCAGAGGATGAAGGGGAAAAGGTCAAGTAGGGATCTCTGTGGTCACTATTCTCTTCCAGGACACTGGGGGGAACAATAAGGCTCTTTTATAAGGCATTGATGTAAATTCTTGATTAGGGGCTGCAAAAAGCGTCGCAATGGGAAGGGACAGGAGCAGCTGGTAAGCCAGAGCTGGGAAGAGGAAGGGAAAGAGGGTGCCGCGTCGTGCAGAAGTTGGGTGAAAATGGGAAGGACCAATTTTTCCCTTCACCCATCCCAGAGTGTTGGGTACCTGCGTGGGCGGAGCGCGGCAAGCCCGGAGGCCTCTACGTGTCCCGGGTCAGGGCGCCGAGCTCTCCTAGCATCAGGCAGGAAACGGCTGCCCCGCTGGGTTCGGAACGCTCTTCGGGTACCAGGCAAGCCTTTCCCAGGCCTACAGCCCAGAAACGAGCGTCCGGCCTCGGACGCCTGCGGGCGGCGGGGTCGGTCCCCACCATAGCGCAGGCCCAGCCCGCCCCTGGCTTCAAGCACGGCGCGGGACCCTCGCGGCTTTCCGTCCAATCCTGTTCCCCGGCGAGCGCGGAGAGGGACCCTCGCGGCTTTCCGTCCAATTCCCGCTCTTTCGCGGTCCAGAGGGAGTTGGCGGGCGCGGCTGTTCGCTGCCGCGGCGGCGGAGAGGCGCCGCCAGGGGGGGCTGGGAGGCAGCACTCCTCCCTCCCCTAACCTTTCACCTCGGAGGGCGGGGGAAGTTAAGTCGTGTGGGAGAGAGTTAAGTCGTGTGCTCGTAGAGCCGCAGAAGAGCACGGACTGGGCGGGGGTTGCGCTATCATCAGGCATGTTGCCTGCCGGGCTCTAAGAGGTACCCGTGAGGTTGGGCCGCTGGGCTGTCGGTCGTGGTGCTTGGTTGGATTTCTCTCGCTTGGTGGCCTCTTGAGAGTGTACGGCGCTACTTCTGCGCTGCTGGGAGGAGTCTCCGAGCTCTCATCGCCCTCTGTTCCTGCTTCGATTCCTCGTTGCCCTGAGACAGGTTGCCGGCACAGATACCCAGGCATCGGGAGATATCTTGTATCCCGAGGACCCGTCTCATGGAAGATACGGTTGTCTGAAGCTTAGGTAATCCTATAGTACTTTAATTCTGCTCTCTTGAAGGTGGACTTTTTGCGTGTGTTTGCAGTGATTCACGAAAGTTTGAGTTTGGGGGCCTCCCAGTTCCTAGATTGTGTGTCTTCTACCTACTTTCACCAGCTTTTGTTAATTTCTTTCTCTAATGTTTTTAAAGCTTGTTTCTTCCTTCCCACAGTCACTAGCCTATTTCAAATCTCTGTGATCTCAAAACAGAACAGTTCATCTTCTTGATGTACTGGTATGTGACATCTGTTCCTTTACTTATTGTTGCTGGTTCTCTTTTTCGTTTTCTGTGAGTTCACATCTTACTGCCTCAGGAAGATCTGGTTCGAGTCCCAGGTTTGACCTTAGGCAGGTTACTAAGTCTCAGTGTGGTTTTTTCATATGTAAAATGAAAAAGAATGCCACCTTTCAGAGATGACATGAAGATCAGGGAGTGTAGTGGATTGAATCATGTCCCCCAAAACTCACTGAAGCTTGAATTGTGTCCCCCAAGTTTTAGGTATTAGAAACTTAACCCCCACAATGACTGTTAAGAGGGTGGGAAATCCTATTGTGACTGAAATGTGGAGCCTTGAAGAGGTGATTAAGTTATAGGACCATGCAGTAGTGAATGGATTAAAAATGGTGGTTAGGGCTGTGGTTCTGAGGGCTTTAAAAGAAGAGGAGAGTCTGTCTGTCTCTCTGCTCTCTCTGTTTCCACCATCTTGCAATGTGAGACCCCTGGGTCACTGTCACCGTCACCAGATGGACTTTGGACTTCCTAGCCTCAGAGACTGTAAGCAGTAAATTTCATTTTCTTGTAAATTACCCAGTTCCAAGTATTTTGTTATAAGCAACAAAAACGAACTAATGCAGGGAGGTAACACATGTTTTCTGTAGCATACTGCAGTACCTTGCAAATGGTAGGTGTTCAATAAATGGCAACTAATTATGCTTGTCCCATTGATCACTCTTTGACTTCTAGCATTTTCAGTCTACCCTCTCTTCTTTTTTTTTTTTTTTCTTTTTTTGTCTTTTTTACTGACCGGTAATGGGATCGCAACCCTCGGTGTCATGCCCGTACCGGGGACCGGCAACGGGATCGCAACCCTCGGTGTTGCGCCCGCACCACGCTCAGCCAGTGAGCGGGAACCGGTCTCCACATGGGATCCGAACCCTTGGTGGGAGCGCCACCGCGCTCCCAAGCGGCGCACTCTCCAGTGCGCCACTGGGCCGGCCCAACCCTCTCTTCTTTTTAAGTTGTTTTTTTCTGTCTAGCAAGTTTATAAATTCCATAAGAACCGGGACCAAGTCTTGGTTATACTGTGGTTCCTAAATGCTGGTTTAATGAATTGGACCTAGCATGTATAAAAATATTTATGAGATTGAGCTTGTGAGGGATCTCTTTTTTTCTTTAGTTTTTCTATTGTGATGATATCATGGAAAATCAATTGGTTAAATCAACTGAAGAACGAACATTCCAGTACCAGGATTCTCTTCCATCACTGCCTGTTCCTTCACTTGAAGACTCATTAAAAAAATATCTTGAATCAGGTATGTTCATAATCTTTTAGCATATATTAGTGTTATTAGCAACTTGGAGAACTGTGATATTGTTAGAAGTTGATGAGGGTATAATTGCTTCTTCCTCTAGGCTTATGATTATTAAAGTGTCCTTAGAATATCCAAAACTTTTTTTTCTCTCTTGTGTTAATTTTTCCATAGTTTGAAAAGCCAGATAGTATTAATAGGCTTACGATGAAAAGTGCAGTCCTCTGCCCCACCTCTATGGCCCACTTCCCCTCAGACAAGGATTTTCAAATCTTTTATCTGTTTCTTGTGTTGTTTATCTCCATATTTAAACTAGCATTCTTATATTCATTGGGTCTTTTAGTTGTAGGGTTTTTTTTGTTTTGTTTTGTTTTTGGTGGCTGGCCAGTACCAAGCCCTTAACCTTGGTCAACTAGGCTGCACTCTAACCAACTGAGCTAACAGGCCAGCCCCTAGTTGTAAATAATATAAACTATCTCTAAAATGATGTGGCTTTAGCTTTCTTACACCCCCTAACTCTCCCCTCCCCCAGTATATATACAATCCAATTTACCCCCATTTTCCCTCTCCTCTCAATGTAGTTGTGCAGAATCACTATGTGGAATTGAATTCAGTAGTCACCTGATTTTAGTCAGTATTTACCTGATTTAACTCACCTGACCAGTGTTTATGGTTATGTGATTATCATTCACAAATGAACCATGAATTGTACTTTACCTTTTTTGCTGCATTTTTTTGTTTTTCATTTGTTTAGTTTGCTTTGTATTCATAAATAATTTATTTCCAACAATTAAATGCTGAAAATCCCTGAATACATTTAAGTACTTGAGATATTCTGTCTGTTTCTTTTCTTCTTGGAGACATCACTTCTGGAGGGCTCTACAGTCCTGCTCTAATCAACATAGCTTTTGAGTTTGCTGGACAACTGTTATCCTGGGACTTTCCTTTGTCCTCATTCTGTCAGTTCTTTTCACCTCTCTCTTCTGTGTTGTAGTCTCTGGTTCTTGGATTTGGTGTGTTGTAAGGAAAATTCAGTGGATAAATGGTCAGGATCCCTCGGGGTATTATGGCCATCCTGACGGGTAAAAGAAATTTGCCCACGAGAACCGGGTGATAGGAAAGGGAAAAGAGTTTATTTCTGGCAGCCAGGGCTACGCAGGCCAATCGAGACGCGCAGCCCCAAATTGAAACCTCTCGCAGCTTTTATTTTTTTATTTTATTTATTTATTTTTTTGTCTTTTGTCTTTTTTCTGTGTCCGGCAACGGTTCGCAACCCTCAGTGTTGCCCCTGTACCGGACCGGGGACCGGCAACGGGATTGCAAACCTCGGTGTTGCTCCCGCACCTCGCTCAGCCAGTGAGCGGGAACCAGTCTGTATGTGGGATCCGAACCCTCGGGCGGAAGCGCCACCGCGCTTCCCAAGCGGCGCACTATCCAGTGCGCCACCGAGCCGGCCCCGCAGCTTTTATTTTTAGCTAGGCGGGAATTTTCCACATCTGACACAATCTAGCCAATGCAAGCAAGCCAGCGATACATAAGCTAATTTTGTGGGTAGCCCTGTAGTCCCTCCCCACCCTGGATTCCCATAGGGACTTTCCTGGCTAAAATGGCAGAGCCGCCTAAAATGGCATTGGTTATGCTACTCTGTTTATTCCCCCATTTATTTTAGCAAGCAATTTGTACAGAAGCAGAATGCGTATGTTAAGGTCAGTAGGGGTTGGGGCGTCCCTTAACAGGGGGTTCAGAATCTTGCTGGGCATTTGATGTAAATGATAACTGTGCACATGTGCCCAGGTGTTCCTTGGTTATTGTCCGTGGATGCACATGGGCACCCAGGTGTTCCTGGGTTATTGGACTTGAGAATAAAGGATAAACGGCTCTGATCCACAGTGTCCCCTGCCCCAGGATGCTGGGGGTGAGGGGGCGGCCACGGAGAGGCTACTACTGCTGCTGGAGGCTGTTGCTGGAAGCTGTTGCTGCCAGGGCCTCCAGGATGCCCCGGAGGCCACTACTGCTGCTGCTGCTGAGGAAGCTGAGGACTGAACTCTCTTTGGAATGAACCTGTCACTCACCAACAGCTTCTGGGATCTTTCCCAATTACCTAGCTCACGACCTGCACATAAGGGGTCTTGTCACCCAGCCTGGCACGTGAGGGGTCTGGTGACCCAGTCTGCACAACAGGTTTGAAGGGTCTGAGCCCTAGCCCAACAGGTGTCTTCCTCTTTCTTGGTTTACTCCCTTATTTTGACACATCTTCAGTAACTACCTGAGAAAGGATGTTTGGGAGAAAAAAAAAAGTAAGACCTAAAAATGTATTTACTTGATTGTTTGACTGAATATAGAATTTTCAGTGGAAATGATTTTTCTTAAAAGTTTTGAAGACATTGTGTTTGTTTGTTTGTTTGTTTGTTTTCCTTTTTGTCTTTTTTACTGACCGGTAACGGGATCGCAACCCTCGGTGTCGCGCCCATACCGGGGACCGGCAATGGGATCACAGCCCTCGGTGTTGCGCCCGCACCGCGCTCAGCCAGTGAGCGGGAACCGGTCTCCACATGGGATCCGAACCCTTGGCGGGAGCGCCGCTGCGCTCCCAAGCGGCGCACTCTCCAGTGCGCCACCGGGCCGGCCCGAAGACATTGTGTTTTGTTGTTGTTTTGTGGCTGGCTGGCTGTGTATGGGGATCCAAATCCTTGACCTTGGTGTTATAACAGTGCGCTCTAACCAACTGAGCTATGTGGCCAGCCATGGACCAAGCTTTTATTTAAAACATTTTTTCCCTTTTGTTATTAGTGCCTTTCCCTTAGTCATTCATATTTAGAGCGAGACTGTAAAAAGCTGACTGGAACCCTGTGCGTGGGTAGGACTTGGCAACTTGTGGGTCTTATTGCTGGATAATAGGGCAGAGACCTAGAAATTCCAGTTAGGGCATACCTGAATACCAGTATTACTTTCTCTTGGACTGGTCAGTTTCCCCAAAGAGGAATTCTCTTATGTCTTGCCTAGAGGACATAAGCCAGCGATTTGGGAGCTGAGTACGGGAAGGGAGCTGGAATGCTCATCATTCAGGGTGTACAGTTTCATTGTAATACCCCTTTTTAAAATATGGGCTGGAATCCATGTATCCTGTCTTGTCTGGTTCAACTTCTGAGAGTAAACCTGCTTTTTTTGGGCATTGGGAGGAAGTTGCCTGGCTTTGTAAAGTGGAAGAGGAGATCTATAAGGGTAAGTATGGATGAGGTAGTGGTCTAACTGCTGCTTTTGAAGACTTTCAGTAGTCCTTCCGTTTTCAGCCTTGCTTTCCCCCGTCTTTGGAGGTATGCTGCTTGGATTCTTGAACCTTTCTTGGATTCTACTAAAAGAATTGGCTTGCTTCTTGATTTGCACCTAGCCCTACCCTATCTCCCACCAGACCAGGCCTTAGATATTAACTTTCTCTATTCTGCAGAGCCAGTCACCATTTTCCTTTGTGTTTTCTGACTTGTAAAATGCAAGTTTAACTTGTTTGCTGACTTGTCTTCCTACATTTTGTCCTGTGGATTTTTGCTTTTTTTTATTACTTTATGGTCATTTTAACAGGTTTCTTCTTCTCCTCCTCCTCCTCCTCCTCCTCCTCCACTTTGTTTAACTGGAAGCCCTCTGATATTTAAAAAAAAAATTTCTTTCTCCTCTCCTTTTATCTATTTTTATCTGGGAATTCAAATTTCATTTTTTAAAAAATTGACTGATACAGCTATTTAAACTGATACAGCTGGATAAGATTTTAAGAGGCAAAAATCAAACAGAAGGAAGATATTAGTATCTCTTGTACCTTTTAATTCATTTTTTCATTCTTTATTTCTAATTTGCTTTATAGCTTAATTTTCAGAACATTTGATTTTCATGGAGTATGGATCCTGTATGCTTGTTTTTTTTTTTTTTTTTGAAGTAAACCATTATTGGCCATGAGGCATCCTAAACTATTGTGGGCAGGATTTACATTTACATGCATAATGGTCAAGTCTCAATGATTTGAACATTAATGGAAAGATTCTTTGATTTCTTTTATTTGTGGCTAAACAGGATTTACTTTCCCACTGTACTAATAGCTAGAAGATAGTCCTGCCTCCATAATTTTAATTGTCATCTAAAATGATTTTAGAAGAGTTTTTCAGAAAAATATATCAAATTACATGATATCCACTGTTTCATTTTTACAGTATTTTGCATTGTTGCTTTTTAGTTATTTTAATGTTGTAAATTCTATTATAATTTATTGTACTTCTGTGATATTTAATACTGTGTTTTACACATCTGAGTTTTAAGATTCATGTAAGTGATGATAATCAAGATCAGTTGTTGGTAGTTAATGTCTAATCAAGATATACTTAATGCATTTTTTCTTTATAGTAAAGCCATTTGCAAATGAAGAAGAATATAAGAAAACTGAAGAAATAGTTAAAAAATTTCAAAATGGAATTGGAGAAAAATTGCACCAGAAATTGCTTGAAAGGGCAAAAGGAAAAAGAAATTGGGTATTTATGTTATATTTATAATTGAAAAATTGCTTAAAGAACAAAAAATAAAAATGTACATAGCTATAATTTTTAAATTGTTGCTGTAAAAATCTTTGCAGTCATTGTTGTCATTATCACCATCCAAAAGAATGAAGAATGCATGAATCACTTAATTGGGAAGTTTTGAGTGTTGTGAGTAGACCCCTATCTTATCATATGGAAACTTGTTAAAATGCAGATTTCCTGGGATCAGTGATTCTGATCAGTATGTATGGAATGGGGCCCCCAAATCCTTATTTTAACAGTCACTGCATGTGGTTCTGATGCTGGTGATTTATAGACCATGCTTGAGAGAAACATTTTGTTCAGATGATTATAGCCAGAAAAAACCCTACACATTAAAATAGACATGTTACATAGGTGACACAGAAACATTTAAAGCGTACATGGGAGGAAAGGGCCATTATAAAGTTGGAGTGGAGAATGGTTAATGAATATTCTGTGTTTCAGTTAGATATATTAAGGGAGAAGATGGTATAATAGTTACTGAGGGTCTCTAATTTTCCACAAGGAATCTTCCTTTGATCTCTTCAGCTCAACCATTTCTCTACTTCCCTAGTATGAACCAGAGGAGGATGAGTTTTCATAATTAAAAAGCATTGCCTTAGTTTAGTTAGACATAATGATTTTAACTATCTTCTAGTTTTAGAAATAAAAAGCAAGCTGATCTTTTCATGAGCCATTGATATCTATGATGGAAAAATAAAATGTAACACTTCTGGATTCCTTTGTTCTCAATTTTGAGCCTGAGTGGTTTTAATTTAAAGTGGGGTAAAGGTAAAGAAGTTGTTCTTCTGCCTGTATCTTTTTTGTTCATGTCTTTTTCTGAATTACTAATTATAGTTTATAGTATCAATTTCTTCAGAACTCCAGATAATTTGATAAGATGTGCTTATTTATGCATGAAATTCAATTGCATAGCATGAAAGAGGGACACAGAAAGCAGTGTTTATGAAAAATCTCAATTAGTTTTAAGCCAATTGAAAAGGTTTTGTATTTCTTTTGTTTGTTTTTTATTTTTTTTGTGGCTGACCAGTACGAGGTTGTATATTTTTGATATGGAGTATTTCAGTTTTTCTTTGGAAAAGGAAAATTGTGAATATCTTACTTGTTATCATTAGCTGAGATTTATTATGTTTTTACCCAAGTACTCCGAGAAAACACCTCAGTACTTTGTTGGGTATTTGTGACTTCAGTATGATGATCTCTCTGAAAGTGCCTTTTCATTGCTTTCTTGTTTCATATTTTTGGTAGTGTAGTTAAGCTAAATAATGTTTAAGATCCTACAGTTTCAAAAAAGGAAATTATCACAATAGCATTTTCAAAATCTATGATGATTTCAAACAAAATGTTTTTAAGTGTTGAAGAATAGAGAACAAATGGAACTTGTTTTTGTGGGTTTTTTTTTTTTTTTTTTTTTTCAGCAGCTCCACATTCAAGTATTATGAAGAACCTTAGGCTCATGATCTTAATTTCTTCTAGCTGGAAGAGTGGTGGCTAAATGTTGCCTACCTGGATGTTCGTATACCATCACAACTGAATGTCAACTTTGCGGGTCCTGTGGCCCATTTTGAACACTACTGGCCTCCAAAGGAAGACACTCAATTAGAAAGAGGAAGTATAATTCTTTGGCATAACATGAACTATTGGCAGCTATTAAGAAAGTAAGGACACGTATGTGAATTTAATAACAGATTTACCTGATGCTTCTGGTGACAAAATATTGAGAAACTTAATTTACTTATTTGGCGATGAATACTATAGTTGTGACTTTGTGTAAGTTTTATAATGACTTCTTCATCAAAATACTTTTTTTTAATAGAGAAAAAGTGCCAGTTCAGAAAGTTGGAAATACTCCTCTAGATATGAATCAATTCCGAATGCTGTTTTCTACTTGCAAGGTGCCAGGAATTAGTAGAGATTCAATTATGAGTTATTTTAGGACTGGTAAGTGAAAACATGGGTACTTCTTTTTAGTAAAGGCATTGGGTAGTTTTTCTGTTATTTCTACTATGACACTGTGGAACATAAAGTTTTGGTTATTTCTTACTGGGTTTTGACAAATCAAGGGCTTTCTATGAACTTTATCTTTGAGTCATTCTGATTGGTTTGGATGTAATTTTTTTCAATACAAAGGCCTAAACAAAGCTATGGATTTAATTTATGTAACTGGGTTCTCTAAACTATCTTACATGGTTCAACACAAACCTGGTGCTTATGTTGCTTCATTTGAGAGTTTAAGATTTATTTGAAGAATAGAATTAGGAGTCAGAATATTAAGGAAATCCTGGAACATATGATCTGATGCTTCTTTTCTTATTCTCATTCCTTATCTGAATTGTCTTTGAGTGTTTGCTTATGTGTGCTCATCCTGCCCCATTTCTTTATGTCAGTATGCTTTATTTTTCTTTACACATATCACATATGCAGAAAAGTCTGGTGTCACACTTCTTGGAGATACATGAGTTCAGATTGATTCGTTAAATTTTGTTGTTCTTGTTGGACAGCTGGCCAGTACAGGGATCCAAACCCTTGCTTGACCTTGGTGTTATAACACCAGGGCTTTAACCAACTGAGCCAACCAACCAGCTAGCCTAACTCATGAAATTTTTGTTTTTACTGTTAGTTTCATGGCAATTTCTGCTTGGTATTCTAGCATATCTTGAAATGGAAAATTCTGCTATCGTTACTGTTGGTGTCCAGTTACTTCAGGAATTTTTACTTTTTATGAATTAATGACAGTTTAGAATTACTGCAGAGTGTAATTATAATGGGTATTTTTTTACATTTAAGTTTATTTAAAAGTAAAAAAAAATTTTTTTTGGCTGCCAGCCAGTTTAAAGTAAAATTTTTATAGCCAGTTATGGTCATAGCATGAGGGGTATGAGTTTACTTTTGTAGCATTTACTTGGCCAGCAAAAACCACAAAACCTCATATACTGATCTCAGTTAAATCTCAGGTGGGCTCACAGCACTACCTTGTTATATTCTTTTGTCGGTTTATTCTTTCATTACCAGAGAAGACTGTTTCAAGCTTTTCTTCCTCCTTATTCTCAGCTAATGTTGAGCTAATTCTCAACAATTATAAAATAATCTTCCCATCACCAAATTTACCAGCTTGTATCTGTGATAGGCACAATGATGCCCCCTCTGCCAAAGATGTTCATTTCCTAATGCTTGGAACTTTGAATATGTTAGGTTACACGGTAAAGGGGAATTAAGATTGCTAACCAGTTGACCTTGAGATGGGGGCATTATCTTGGATTATTCACAGGGGCCCAGAGTAATCACAAGGGTCCTTATAAGTGGAAAAGGGAGGCAAGAGAGGGAATCAAAGAGATGGTAGCATGAGAAAGTTGTGATCTTCCCTTGATGACTTTGAAGTTGGAGGAAGGGGCTCCTGAGCCAAGGAATGTGGGGAGCATCTAAAAGTTGGAAAAAGGAAGGAAACTAGATTCTTTCCTAGAGCCTCCAGAAGAAACACAATCCTGTTGACCCCTTTATTTTAGCCCAGTAAGACACATTTCAGACTTTGGGCCCTCAGACCTGTAAGATAATAAGTGTGTGTTGTCTTAAGCCACTAAGTTAGTGGTAATTTGTTACAGCAGCCACAGAAAACATACTTATTCAAATATCTGCCTGTCTCCCACCCCCTTGCAATACTTTTTTTGCACATTTATTTACTTTTCCTTCCCTTTTTAAAAGTAGACTCCTAAGGACAACTCTTCTATATTTTCTTTCTTTTTAAAAAATTTATTTGTTTCTTTTCATTTGACAACTCTTGTATAAATGTGCTGGATCCCACTTTCTCTTGCCTAGTGCTTTTTTGTTTTCCAGCCCTACATTTTGGAAACAGTGTGGTCAGTAAATAAGTAGCAATAAAAGGTAGTGATGGTAAATATAATAGGATATGGAGATTTTTGAAGGGGAAGAGAACAAATGGTTTGGAAGAAGCCATGAGGAGAAAGGAAAATGCATACTTCACCTTAGTTATAAGAGAAAAAATAGTAGCATTATCAGGAGATGATTCTTCCTCATAGCTGAATAGATTTCATGAGATATGTGTATAAAGCATTTAATACCATCGAGTAAATTTCCTTCCAGTTGTGGTGTATGTCTTCTCTTTCTTCCTCTTTTTTCTTTTTCCTTTCTTAGAGGATAGGGGCAGGGATCATATAGGAGGACCCTTGGCAAAGGGACTAGTACCTAAAAACTGGAATCAAGTCAGAGTATTCTGAGGTTTACAGCAAATAAACAGTTCTTGGGGAGTTAATGTGTGCCAAAGGAATCATAGAATCAATTATCAGTGGCTTACCAGCTGTTAGCAGAGCATTAAATAAAACTACAGATTGGACAAATTTCTTTCCCCTTGCCACTCAGGCATATGAGGCATTATTGAGGAATCATAGCTAGATATTACTATAATTAAATTACCTGTTGAGCAATTAACATTAAAGTAATATAGATGAGAAACTTGTTAATTTAAATGGCTGTCCTCCAGCATTCCTGTAGTCCCCTTCTTTTCTCCCTAAATAAAACTGGAAAGCCCTGCAGTAGTATACAAATATTTAAAACTCTCGTGGATTTCTCCATGTTTCACATGGATAAGTTTCAAGAGTATGTGTTTATATCATAGTAACTGAAATTCCATTAACTTATTAAGTTGTCTTTTTCTGTGATATATTTGATGAATGTATGACAAACAAAATATTGAAGAATGATTATTTTCTCTTCTTGGATGTATGCAGTTTTACTCCTGTTTAAGTTTGGGAGATTTGAGTCTTGTATTCTCTGTTTCTTTTTCCAGAGAGTGAAGGGCATTCCCCAAGTCACATTGCAGTCCTGTGTCGAGGCCGAGTTTTTGTCTTTGACGTAATACATGAAGGATGTTTGATCACCCCACCAGAGCTTCTCAGGTTTTCAAACTACTTCCTTGAGTCTCATTTGGTCTTAATCTTTTGCTTGAGTTAGAAAGTAAATGTTCAGAATTGCCTTTCTATAAGGTGATAATAAGCTGAAAAATAGGAATCTTGTACTTGTTTATTATAAAAAAACTATTTTTATTTTATTTTTAATTTAAATTAATTGTTAGTTTTATGAGACATATGGGCTGTCCAGTTAGTTCAGTTGGTTAGAGTGCAGTGTTAAAACACCAAGGTCAAGGATTTGGATCCACGTACCAGCCAGCTGCCAAAAATAAATAAATAAAAAATAATTTTACTAGACATATATATTCTACTTGGAAAAGAAGAAAACATTACAGATATTACCAATATCATTCCCTGCCCCAGAATTAATCGCTATTACTAGTTTGATGTGTTCTATCCTTGCAGATTTGTTGCAATGAATTTACATGAACATATATTTTAAATATATATATTTTTATATGTAGTGCATATTGTGTGTGTAAACATATATATAGTAATACATATAGTAGTACATATATAATACATGTAGTATATTTTTGTTTGTATATATTTTAAAAATATATTATGGAAAATTTCAAAATGTAGAGGGAATTATGTAAGGAAGACCCCCACATACCCATCCCTTAGCTGCAACAGTTATAAACTCAGTCAGCTTTGTTTCAATTATACCTCTTGTGCCCCTCCCCTCACTCCTCCTTGGATTATTTTGAAGAAAATCTCAGACATAATGTCCTTTCACTATAACTATTTTAGTATGTATCTCTAAAATATAAGGACTTATAACATCATGGTCAAGGGTTTGAATACTCATACCAGCCAGCCACCAAAAAGAAAAAAAATCATTAAAACATAAGGACTATTAAAAAAATACACATACGGTACCATTATCACACATAATGACTTCTAAAAAATAATTCTTAATATCATTAATATACAATCAATTGTTCGAATTTCTTTGATTACTTTATAAATATTGAGTTGTATGTATCTATATATAATTTAAATTCTCATTATTAAATGCTACAAACATGAACAAAAGTGCTCACAGAAGTTTACAGCTAAAAATACTCAGGTAACCTTGTATGTATCTATACATAATTTAAATTCTCTTTATTAAATGCTACAAACATGAACAAAAGTGCTCACAGAAGTTTACAGCTAAAAATACTCAGGTAACCACCACCCAGGTCAAAAACAGAACATTTCCAGTACCCCAGAACCAGCCGCCCCTACCTCTTTCAGTTACCTCCTTCCCAGGGGTGATTGTTTGAATTGTATATAGCTTTTTTTATCATAAAAAAGGCTGCTATGAAAACCCTCATACAAGTCTTTTGGTGCATACATGGTACTTCAAAAAGCTCATGGAAAGGGCCGGCCCGGTGGCTCACTGGATAAGTGCGCCGCTTGGGAAGCGCGGTGGCGCTCCCGCCTGAGGGTTCGGATCCCACATACAGACCGGTTCCCGCTCACTGGCTGAGCGAGGCGCGGGAGCAACACCGAGGGTTGCAATCCCGTTGCCGGTCCCCGGTCCGGTATGGGGGCAACACTGAGGGTTGTGATCCGTTGCCGGACACGGAAAAAGACAAAAAAAAAAAAAAAAAAGCTCATGGAAAGATTCATGCTATTTTTTAATTCTGGTTTTTCATGAACTTTTTGAAGTACCCTCATACGTGCATGCATTTCTGCCTTGATTACACCCAGGAGAAGATTATACCCAGAGTATGTGTATATTCAACTTCAGTAGATAATCCAGTTTTCAAAAGTAGTTGGACTAATAAACGTTTCCACAAGTATATGAATGTTGCGGGCGTTCTTTATACATTCTGAATAAGAGCTCTTTCATGGTTTTGTGTATTTCAATACACTGAATAAGAGAAGATGTTGATAATTGCCCTTTTGTTCTATTAAAGGCATCTTTTTGAAGAACAGAAGTTCTTAATTTGAATATAGCCCAATTTATTAATTTTTTATCGTATGGATTATACTTTTTGTGTTTTGTTTAAAAAAATTTTTTTTCTCTATCCCAATGCCAAGAATATATTTTCTTATATTATGTTCTAGAATTTTTTTTTGCATTTCACATTTATATTTACAGTCTGCTTAGAACTGATTTTTGTCTGTGGCACGGTAGGAGTAGCTATAGATTTAAAAATAGTGCTATTTTAGGTATTTTTTTATAGTTTGCTTATTTTAATCAATAATAAGTCAGTGATATTTTAAGCGTTCAGATACATATACTTTACTTTTATTTATTTATTTTTTTGTGACTGGTCAGTATAGAGATCAAACCCTGGACCTTGGTGTTGTCAGCACCACACTCTACCCAGCTGAGCTAACCAGCCAGCCTTCAAGTACACATACCTTATTCTTTTAAAATGTTACATAGAATTTGATTATTTCTCTATTAGGACACACTGAAGTTGTTTCCATCTGTTGCTATAATAAATAATGAAAAATTTCAAGCAAGCCTCTTTGTGTATTTGGAGAAAATATCTATTGGTTGATATTAGAAGTAAAATTTCTAGGTCATAAGATACACATCCATTAAAAAATTTTACCAAGTCAAATTGCCATCCAATGTGGCATTATCTTCCCTGCCAGTGTTTTATGAGGTTATCCACTTTTCCCCATCATTGCTGAGATGGTATTATTAAACTTAATTGTCTACATTTTGTGTTGATTTAGGGGTGGGGGGGCGCTGGCCAGTATGGGGGTCTGAACCCGTGACCTTGGTGTTATAAGACTGTGCTCTAACCAACTGGCCAGCCTAAGCACATTTGATGAACTGACAGGTGAAAATGGTTTACATTGTTTGAATTTGCATATTTCTCATTATTAATGAGGTTGAGCATTATTATATATGTTTATGGGCGGTTTATTTTCTGTGAGTTGCTTTTGTCTGTTTTTCTATTGGCTATTTTATTCTTGTTAATTTTTTTTTTTTTCTTTTTGGCAGCTGGCCTGGTACAGGGATCTGAACCTTTGATCTTGGTGTTATAAAACCGTGCTCTAACCAACTGAGCTAACTAGCCAGCCCTATTCTTACTAATTTTTAGCAGTTATTTATATGGTTTGTACACTAATCCTTTATTGATTATATGTGTTGCAAATATTTTCGTCAGGTTAACTTAATTTTTTTTGGAAATTGTACATTGTTAATTTTGATGGGCAAATTTATCTCTTAGGTCTTTTGCTTTTGTGTCTTAGGTAATATTTGTGTATCTTCTAGTTACAGTTTTTAATTCATTTGGTCCAAATTTGACATATAATTATATCAGGCTTATTAATTGGATTATTCAAAGCCACTCTTCTGGAAAATGAATACGTGTGATCCATGGATCAAAATTCAGCCATTTTGCATGGATAACATTTTGCTTGTATGACCTATTTTGCTTGGATAACAGAGAATTTGAATCGCTATTTAAAAATCAGGAGAATTCACATGAAAATCTGGATTTCTGTTTTTTCTTTAGAAAACAAAAGTTTCAACAAGATCAGCCCGCATTCTGACATGGCAACAACAAGCTGGGTCTAGGTAGTTTAAAATTGCCCATTTCAGACTCGGCATGTCCTTGTTTGCAGACTGGTACCATCCTTAGTACTCCCTATGCTGAGGCCAAATGTTACCTCCATCTATTATTTCAGTTACACTGGATTATTGTTGCTTAGTTTTAATAGTAGAGAAATATTTCTCTATTCCCATGTCTCCATCAAAAGAGGGATAACAAGAACTTCCAGTGTGAACATGGTATTGGCAGGCTTACTTTGTTTTCCCATGTATTTCTTTACTGTTATATTCCTATCTTCCTCATTGATACCGGTATCTACGCAGTCATCCAAATCTGAGAAATACTGGAGTGACCCTCAAAATCTCCCTTGTGTCCCACATTAATCAGATACAAAGCCCTCTCCATTTCACTTAAAGGTTTTTCGAGTGCTTTGTATTTTCCCCACCTCCATTGTCTTTGTTCAAGTTTTCATTATCTCTGCTGGACTGTTAACTCAAACTCCATATTGATTTTCTTGCCTCCACATATTCTCCACATTGTCATCAGTCTTATGGCTTTAAAATTTAAATTTGAATGTATCTCACCTTTGCTTCGAAGTCTTAAATGATTCCTGTGGTCTAGGATAAAGTCCAAATTCCTTAGCAGTGGTCTATATTTGACCTTTGCCTATCACTTCACCTTGTGTTCTGCTCTTTTCCCCTGTGCATCCCACATTCCTACCCCATTGCTCTGCTTGCAATCCTTGTAACATGTCATATTATCTCTGATTTTTGCATGTGCTCATGCTTTCTATTTTGAATGCCCTCCCCTGCGTTATCCACCTGGCAAGTTTTTACTCATGCTATATGTCTCTGTTCATGTGTCACCACAAGGTCAACTATTTCCTAATTTCCTTTTCCCTTTCCTCTCCCCAAACCCTAAAAAGTTAGCCTACTTTAGGCTCTTTGTATACCTTGTACTTGTCTCTGTTATATTGATTATAATGTTGTATTGAAATCATTTACTTCTATGTTTTCACATGTAGATAGAGCTCTAAGAGATTAGTTACCAGGTCTTTTTTTTTTATTATTAATAATTTTATTTTTTATATCCCATTGCTTAATACAGTGCTTAGCACACAGTGAGAATTTACTCTGAGGGTATGTGTGTATTTAAAATATACAGGTGTGTGTGTGTACGAAGTGAGTGATTACACCAGACCTGTGTATTATGAAATTTTATCTAGAAATATAAGATACATATTAGAAGTGTAAGATAGATTGGTCAGATTTTCAATTTTAGTGAATTGGAGGCTCAAAAGAGATGTACTGAAAGCTACTGATGAAATCCAGGAAAGATGTAAGAGATTTGGACTTTAAAAGACAGGACAAATGCAGGAAATGTTTTGGAGATAAAATTAATAAGAATTGGTGACTGGATTTAGGAAGAAAGGACTGTCAGCCTACTTAACTTGCACGGGTAGGCTGACAGTATTAAAACAGGAGGAAGCAACAGAAGAGTAGGAACCAATTCTTTTTTTCTTGTTTTTAATAACAGCTTTATTGATATATATCCACACATCATACCATTTACCTACTTAAAATGTGCAATTCAGTTATTTTTAAAATTTTAACAGAATTGTACAACCATCACCACAATCAATTTTATTTTTTCAGTCAAGTGCAGTAGTAAGAAGGAGGAAAAGAGCAGAACAAGGAGTTCAATCTGTAACTGATTGGGAACAATCACTTGTGATAACACTACTTTTGGACCAACCACCACAATCAGTTTTAGAACATTCTTATCACTCCCAAGAGTAACCCTTTCCCCATAAGCAGTCACTCCCCATTGCTCCCCAACCCTGTTCCCCATCCATTACCAGTCACTTCCCATATCTCCCAAACACCTCTACCCCACCAGCCCTAGGCAACCACCAGTCTACTTACTGTCTCTGAATTTCCCTGTTCTGGACATTTCGTATAAATGGGATCTTACAACCTGTGGCCTTTTGTGTCTGGCTTCTTTCACTTAGCATGTCTTCTAGGTTTATCCATGTTTTAGCATGTGTTAGTACTTTATTCCTCTTTATGGCTGAATAATATTACATTGTATGTATATACAACATTTTATTTAACCATTCATTGGTTGTTGGACATTTGGATTGTTTCCACTTTTTGGCTATCATGAATAATGCTGCCACGAACATCATGTACAGATTATTGTGTGGTCATATGTTTTCATTTCTGTTGGGTATAGGAGTGGAATTGCTGGGTCCTATGGTAACTCTGTGTTTAATTGAGGAACTGCCAGACTGTTTTCCAAAATGGCTGCACCATTTTACATTCCCATCAGCAGTATATGAAGGTTCCAATTTCTCTACATCTTCACCAACACTTACTGTCTGCCTTTTTGATTATAGCCATCTTAGTAGGGGTGAAGTGGGGTCTCATTGTGGTTTATATTTGCCTTTCCATAATGACAAAGATAAATATATTTTTCATGTGCTTATTGGCCATTCGTATATATCTTTGTTGGAGAAATGACTAATCAGATACTTTGCCAATTTTTAATTGGGTTGTCTTTTTATTAGTGAGTTGTAAGAATTCTTTATGTATTCTAGATATAAGTTCCTTATCAGATATATAATTTGCAAATAATATTTCCCATTCTGGGGGTGTCTTTTCACTTTCTGATGGCCTCCTTTGAAGCAGAAAGGTTTTCATTTTGACAAAGTCCAACTTTATTTGTTTTTTCCATTGATAACTTGTACTTTTAGTATCATATATAAGAAACCATTGCCTAATCCAAGGACATGAAAATTTACATCTCTGTTTTCTTCTAAGACACTTTGTTTTTAATTTGTGAGAATAGGTAGTTTTTTTTTTTTTTTTTTTTTTTTTTTTTTTTAAAGATGACCGGTAAGGGGATCTCAACCCTTGGCTTGGTGCTGTCAGGACCACGCTCAGCCAGTGAGCAAACCGGCCATCCCTATATAGGATCCGAACCCACGGCCTTGGTGTTATCAGCACCGCACTCTACCGAGTGAGCCACGGGCTGGCCCGGTAGATATTTTTTAAATATGCATTTAGTTTGAAATGTTGGCAGAAATTGAGGTAGAGATATCCAGCAAGCATTTGGAATTTTGGTAACAGATTTAGAGAGAAGATGGGGTTGAAGTTAGAGATTTGGTTGCCTCTTACATAAAGGTGATAGTTGAAGCTATTAAAGAAGTAGATGAGATTACCAAGGGAGAAACTTGTAGGAGGGGTTCAAGGGGCCAGTGACAGATATTTGAAGAAAGACACATTTGGCAGTGGAAGGAAGACAAATGGTCAATGAAAAAGACTGAGTGGTCATTGAGATAGGGAAACCACAACAGAACAGTGCTAAAAAGTCAAAGCAGAAGATAATTTTAAGGAGATTTGCACCTGGGTGTCAAACATTCTCTAATGAGGAAAACAAGACTGAGCTAAAGTTACCAGGTTTCTTTTATAGGACATTACTGGTGACTTTCAGAAAAGCAGTTTCAAGATAATCACTGGAGGACAAAACCAGATTACATTAAATTAAAGATTGAATGAGAAGTAATGAAGACAGAAACCAGATTGTGAGGCGATATCAAGTGTAGAATATTTTTAAAATCTGTAATTCTATAATGCAGATAGTTTAAGTACAAATCTTTGTGCTTGGAAATATAAAAAAAATGGATGTGGACTGAAAAACAGGTACATAGGTAGCCAAGTTAAAGGAAAAAGAGGGATTTTCCTAATTACCAAATCTGTCACTTCTTAATGATGAAGATTTGGGCGGTTGTTATCTGACCTTTTATTGTTAAACTTAAAATGTCTTTCCAGGTTTAACACATTGTCCATGGTAATTTCTCCCTGATAATGACCACCTTGTAAAATGAAGATAAAAAAGTCATTTCAGGGAGCAAGAAAGAGTCTCATGGTCAAAACTGGTGCTTTGAGGGGGTAAGGGAACGGTAACAAGTACCATATGAAGAAAAAGAGTCAGGTAGATTTTTATTTAGAAATTCATGATTTATGCTAGTTAATATGCTCACCAATTAACTACAAACCGCAGAAGCTTTATTTTTAACTGGAGCAAAGACAAGTAAGCAGGCAAAGAGGCAATGCAAGTTGTTTCCACTGTACATGCAGGGTTTTTTTTGTTTTTTTAAATTTGGTAACTGGCTGGTATGGGGACCCAAACTTCACCTTCATAGATGCAGATTGTTTGGTGCTCCACAGGACACCAATAATGTGCAAATAAAGATGGAAGAATTTTGCAGCAAGGAAATTTTTCTTCATCAGTGTTACACATATAATTAAAGAAAAGAGGAAATTATGCCAATCAATAGCTGTGTGTTTTCCAGTTTTGAATGATGAAGCCATAACTAAGAGACTTTTTAAAAACCATTTATTAAGCTGAATTAGCTCACTTTCTGAAGACTTCTTGGAAACTTTTAAATTGAGGTAATTTCTTAGCATGTGTTATGAGGAAGTAGGGCCAAAACTAAAGCTCTGTGAACTTTTGACTGATGAAAATTTCTTTCTTTATGAAAAACCCTGTTGTTTACCTACTATATGTTTAAAGATACATGAAATTTGTCAGACTAGAAGCATAGAATGCTATGGAGAGAAATAGTATATCCTCAACTAATAAAGTCTTTAAAATATAGTGGCTAGAAGTAACAAAACGGCACTCAGGAAAACATTTCTTTATTACTTATTTTTGCTGATCTATATGGGGATTGAACCCCAGATCTTGGTGTTACTACCAGCACCACATTCTAACCAACAGAGCTAACTGGCCAGCTCTTGGGAAAACATTTAAAGCTGACTTCATGGTACTTCTGTTTTTTGGGTAAAACACAAATATTAACTCATAGTCTTTAGTAAGATAAGATGTACATGCTATTTGTGAAATTGATTACCAGAATATTTTTCAAGTTCTTCATTGTAAGGGTATGTACTTGGAACCTGGAAATACATGGACTTTTTCAAAGTACAAATTATATCAGGCAAATTCAAAGTTAATTGCTTAAATTAAGCTATTGTCAAATATACCTTTGGTGTTAATAGAACACACAATCATTTTTAAAAAAAAGATGTAGGAATAAATCTATTGCTGTTAAGGTCATAATCAGTTTCTTTGGGTAATATATCAAAACATTTAAAAACTGATCAGTGTTATGATATGTTAAAGGCCAAAGTAGCTACTGTCTGCTTATGCTCTTTTTGAATCCTCTTTCTTTAATCTTCCATAAGACAATTGACCTACATTTACGAGAAGTGCCATGGTGAACCTGATGGACCTGGGATAGCAGCATTAACTAGTGAGGAGAGAACTCAGTGGGCTAAGGTTATGATTTATACTTTTTTTTTTAATGAACCTTTTCTCTAACAGACTCTTTTGAGATTTTCTAGATATATTGTATTTAAGTTACAACATTTAATCATTATCTCCTTGCCTTTCAGGCACGAGAATATCTGATAGGTCTTGATCCAGAGAACTTGACTTCGTTAGAAAAAATTCAGAGCAGTTTGCTGGTATACTCCATAGAGGATAGCAGTCCACATGTAACACCAGAAGATTATACTCAGGTACTTAACTGCCTTGCTCTGTTTTTTTCTTCTCACAGATTTTTCTGGAGGACTGTTATGTATATTGAATGTGAGAAGATTTGTTTTTCTTTTTTTATGTTCAGGCTCTTAAAATTTTTTCTTAGCTGTGAAGTATACATGTACCAAATTGAAGCTTAAAGGTTAATAAATAGTGCTTTTTAAATCCTTGCCACATTGTTTAGGTCAATTTAGATATGTTTTGTACTTTGTTTAAAGAAGTACAACTATTGTTTGAATATCGCATGTCAGTGTTTCCCAACCTTTTTGTTGACTGCATACACAAATTTTCATGGGACACTGGGGTAAATGAATTTCTCTTGCTGAAGGTGACATGGGAAACTACTTGTAACTCACACCATTGTGTCTTGACACCTTAGTTGGGAAGGTCTGTCCTAAGAATTATATTACCCTTCTAAGTAATTTGATATATCATTGGTTTTTTTGAACATACTACAGTGAGTATAAGGGTAAATGTAGCTTTACTTTGTGTTTTTTTCCCCTGGAGTAATATTTTCATTTCCTGGGAAATAATAAAAGGGAGTAATCATGTTAGTAGAAGTCTCATGGTCTTTTGGAAAAAACACTTAAATTATTTCATAATGCATTCGTCAGTATTAAAATGATAGGAAAGACTAATTCAGGATTGAAAAACCTTATAGCTGGAAAATGTTTCTTTAGCTATATTTTTTTTTTTTTGGATGAGAATCACCAAACTTCTCCCTAAGGAAGAATATGTTTTATTGCAGTGTTATTCAAACTTTTTTGAGTACTGTCTGTAGTTATAAATACATTTAGATTGTCTCCCACATGCATGTGCATGCACACCACATATATACAAAAGAAGTTTCACAAAACAGTAACCACTTTTACTGTCTGTGATGTACTCTGATATTTCTATTGTATTTTATTCTGTTTCTTTTTTTAGGGAGTGTTGGTTGTGATGTACTAAATTGATTTCATGACTCACTACAAAAACCTACAGTTTGAAAAATATGAATTCTTGGAATGTTTCCCTTCTAACTAGACTTTAATGACTAAAATTATCAAGATCTCCTATACTATTCAAGTTACAAAAGCCTTGTTCTTTCAATTGTATGTTCTCTAAACTTCCATGAATATTGTACCAGCATTCTCTTTTCTGGTAGGATTTTCTTAACTTGAAGTTTTGAGAAATAGCTGAAGTCAGGGCCAGAATTATTATCTCTTGAATATAACTATATTATCATTTTGTCAAATTTAGTTGACCTGAAGAGGAAAAGTGAGATGATATGTGTTTTAAATGTAAATACTTACAAACCAATGTCAAAACCCTTTTAATTTGGAAAAATTACATTTAGGTAACTGCAATGCTCCTTATTGGAGATCCAACAGTACGGTGGGGTGACAAATCCTATAACCTGATTTCCTTCTCAAATGGAGTATTTGGCTGTAATTGTGATGTAAGTAACTACTAAAGTTTTTTTTTCCCCTTTTAATCTTTTATGTTAATTTAATGGCAATAAGCCACAAATCGTTATGCTATGCTGTAATGTAGTATAAGTAAGCAGTTCCTTAGTTTTATGACATTATAGTAAAAAGTTTAGTTATGGATCCTCAGTGAAAGTAGAGTATAGGACAAGTTATTTTCTTAGTAAGGCCAACAGTTTGGTGTGTATCTGCAAAATGGAATTTGCGTGTAATTTTTATGTAGTATAAGCTCTTAAAACCCACTATTATTTGCTGGGAATTACAACCTATTTTAAAATATATTATATGGCATTATGTGTATGTTTTATGCACAGGGAAATGTATATGGATAGATCTCAAGATTTGCCTAGTAACTAGGTAAATATTTTCCTAAAATGACATGTGATCTTTGGAACACTATTTATTTAGCCTATAGATATTAAAATGTCTGGCAATTACCAGCATAAGACAACTTTTCTTGTTTCTCTTCTGTTCTCCCATGGTTTTCTTTACTAGCTCTATCTTTTAACTTTCTTTTTTCTTCTTCTTTTTTTAATCTTATAACTTTCTGATAGGCATTCAGGAGGTCTGTGAGTTAAGAAGATTAGAAAAACAAGGGTTCAGTAGTTATATTAATCAGGATTTATTCACTTTTAGGTGACAGAAACCTAAGTCAAACTGGCATTAAGATATTTGTTGGCATAGGGTCACAGCTCAATTTGAGTAAGGCTGACTTCCAGTGTCCAAATGCTTTCATTAGAAATCTCTCTCTGAGGGCCAGCCTGTGGCTCACTCAGGAGAGTGTGGTGCTGATAACACCAAGGCCATGGGTTCAGATCCCATATAGGTATGGCTGGTTTGCTCACTGGGTGAGCATGGTGCTGACAACACCAAGTCAAGGGTTAAGATCCCCTTACCAGTCATCTTTTTTTTAAAAAAAAAAGGAAGAAAGAAATCTCTCTCTCCATTTCTTGGTACTACTGTCCTCTGTTTGGCTTCATTTTTAGGTAGACTGCCCAGTGTGATTGTTGTGCCTACAGTCTCACGTATTCATAACTCTCTTCATAGCTTAGTGACCTCCGTGAAAATAGCCGGCTTCTTTTTTCCAGTGGTTCCAGCAAAAGTCCTGGGAATAATGCTCATTGGTTGTGCTTGGCTGGTGTGAATCATGTGCCTATCCTGGGGAATCAGGTGCTCTGATTAGCCTGGCCTGGTCACATGCCCAACCTTGGAACCTAGTGAGTAGAATCAGTCACATTCAAATCACTACAGAGGGTTTGCCTAAAGAACAGTAAAGTAGCTGTTTGTGTAATTGCCTAAAGAACAGTGAAGTAGCTGTTATTTCGGAAGGTGGATTGGTTGATGAGCAGATACTAGATGTCTCTTACAGTAGCTCATCAGAACTACAATGAAAGGTTACCATGAGTTGTTTTAGAGATTTGTTTTCTTTACTATTCCTTTGAATCCACTGCTGACAAAATATTTCTTGTTAATTACTTCAGTTTTTTCTCTTCAGCTCCTTGATTCTTCTGGATTATCCTCAGTCTGGTTTATGTCCTCACTATTCTCTTCAAAGTATGCTTTGTAAGGTAGTTAGCTGCCTCCTGGCTTCTTCCCTCAATTTCTCTTTGACCTTTCTGTGGCGGTTGGTTATCCGCTTCTTCATACGTAATCTGACGCTGCCTCCTTTCCCTTACCAGTCTTTTCCTATCTACTGATTCTAAAACTGACCTTAATATTAGTCACACTCTTTCCCCCTGCCCTCACATCTGCTCTCTTCCCTAATTCAAATAGTTGCATTGACCATTTTTATATAGGTATAAAACTTGTAGTTATACTTAGTGGTTTTTACCTATTCTCATTTTGAGTTGTGTTTTATCGTATGTTGAGTTGTTCAAATTGGATGTTATATTGTTACGTTAAGAGTACATTGATCTCATTGTCAAGAAGGACTCATCATCTTGAGTCCCCCCACACTGCCAAAATACCACCTTTTACTACTTTAAGTTTTACTAATAGCACCAGCATCTTGCTGTTCACTCAAATTTGACAAAAATAAATTTAATGAGTTTTTCTATCACCAAATAAAGAATATTGGACCCATAATGAGCATATATCTCAAGCATAACTGAGGTGCTTTCCTGTAATAAGTGTATGGACATGTTTTATGTATATGTATTAACATCCATATATTTATAAAATTGATCTGATTATCTCCACTTGATAATCTGCTTTTTAAATTCCTTCTAACCTAAAATGATTATAGAAAATGCAATTTAACCTATGTAAAACATCATTAGTGCAATATATATACTCTAAAATAAAGCCTACTTTAATCTAAAGCTATGTTGACCCTCTCTTCCATAGGTGCTTGAATATGTACTTTTGTGATTATACTAATTAATCCCATTTACCTCTTGGGTTTTAAATTCCTGAGGTCAACTATTTTGTCTTCTCTATGTTGTAGGCTTTGTGAAGAACACAGAAAGCATGTAATAAACATTAGTTGATAATTGCAATTACTAATTATAGCTATGGTCCAGGTTCTGTAGTAAGCATTGTATAAGCATTATTAAAATATATTTCAAAGCAGCTGTATGAGGATAGGTATGATTGTCTTTACTAGCAGATGAGGAGTTTACTTTGAAAACTAAATAACAGTTGTGTAGCTAGGAAGTGGTAGAGTTTGGGCTTAGAACCAAAGCCTACATTCTTAAATACTATGTTACATATATTGCCTCCATATCAGTGAAAAAAATGAAGGATAAAAATTATGTGAACAAATAAAGCATTAGGAAAGCATTGAAATTATTTAGATTTCCTAACCTTTTTTTTTTTGAAATTTATTATTATTATTATTATTATTATTTTTTGTCTTTTGTCTTTTTCCGTGTCCGGCAACGGATCGCAACCCTCAGTGTTGCCCCCGTACCGGACCGGGGACCGGCAACGGGATCGCAACCCTCGGCGTTGCCCCCGCCTCTCGCTCAGCCAGTGAGCGGGAACCGGTCCGCATGTGGGATCCGAACCCTCGGGCGGGAGCGCCACCGCGCTTCCCAAGCGGCGCACTTATCCAGTGCGCCACCGGGCCGGCCCGAAATTTATTATTAAATAATAAATCAGGGGATGGATAGATAGGATTATAAACCAAAGAGACTTACACCCTTCAGTTTCTCTGTTTCTTACTGGTTTTGGTAAAGTAGTTAGAAATTGATACTATATGAAATAGTATATGCGATAATATCTTAAATGAATGTGATAATATCTTAAATGATGTGTCTTAATTTATGTAATATCTTAAATATGTCTTAAATGAAATAGTGTATGTGATAAAATCTGAAAATTCTTTGTAAAACTGTAAAGAACTACACACTTGTGAGATGGGGTTAGAAAGTGGGTTTGATAATGACCTGAGAGTCTTGTTATATGTGCTGTTGCTGGCAGATGGACTGCTCATGCATTTTGTACTGACCTCCCTCAAGATCTTGTCCTGATGTTGTGGATGCCACCTAGTTGGTAACAATAAACTGTGCTTATAGGCTCCACTGGGCCATGATACAGGGCAGCAGAGCTGTAGTATTAGGGGGACATTTAAGATACCTCTTTACTTCTTCTGAAACTGGGCCCATATCTCAAGCTTTCCCTTCTTCCCCTCCAAGGCTAGCAGTGTCACATTCAGTTCATGAATGATAACGGTGTTTAACATAAACTGGTAGCAGTAGCACAGATTAGGACCAATCTGAGGTAATTGTCGTCAAAGGAACATGGAGAAAATAAGGGCAAAAATGTTCGTCCTCCAAAGTAAATGATGGGACAATTCACTAACTGCAATTCCTTTCTCAAAATATGGCCGTCAAGTTGTAACACTCTTGTAACTCACCCCATCTTTTCCACATTTCTTTTTTAATTTTTATTGAATCAAATTGATTATACATATTTTTGGGGTTCAACGTTGAGATATGTTGATCAAGTCAATATTCTACCATATATATTGTTATGAATCGTAATTATTCTTCGTGCCCCTTGTCCTATCTCTCTCCATCTCCCCTCTCTAATTACCCTAGATTTCTTCTCTCCTTCTGAAAGAATAATGGTTACTCTGTTGATTTATTATGTAGATGATCTGTCCAGTGCTAAGAGGTGTGATCAGGTCCCCCAATATTTGTAGAGCAGATGCTTCTTCTGTGACTCTGGAATGAGCTTTGTGGAGAGAGACATCCTCTTTTTTATCTCTGCTGGTGACTCTCCTTGTATCAATGCACTCCAGTGGCTGGTGGATCGTCTGCGTGGTGGTTGTGGCGTCTAGCAGCTTTTGTGTCAGCCATGGTTATTGGGGAGGCTGTGGTGGGCCACCCACATGGAGGTGATGTTTTTGGCATGCTCCTTGGTGCTGGCGGTATGCCTGATTGTAGAGGGGGTCCAGTCCCTGGCTCCAGCCTTGGGTCCCCGGGCGGGCCCCAAGGCTCTGGTGCAGTGTATCTGACCCAGAACTAATTTTTTGTCCTTTGCTTACTTCTAAAGTGGGGGAACTTCCTGTGGGGACCAGTACTTGAGCTGTGTGGTTCAGCTAAATTGCTGCTTTGCTGCTGCTTCTCTAGGGAAGGCTTTTTGTGCAGCACAGGTTATAATGGTTGACTTTATAGGTACTTCCTGCTCTCCAGAGACTCGGTACACCTGGGTTGTGTAGTAACTCTGATCTGGGCCTGAGTCTTTTCATCAAACCGCACCCCATGCAATTCTGTATTCCTGACTAGTCTCCTCTGAGTGGTCCTATGCTGATTGCGATGTAGATCAGCTGCCCTTGCTGTGCACCAGTGGTCCCCTGGTGGACCCATCTCCCCCGCCACCCGTGCTGTACACAATGACTCACCAGCCTCTGAGTGGCTCCTTTTTTTCAGTTGTTGTGGCTCCTTGCTCCTATGTGGGTCCAAGGAAACCCTATTAGTGGTCTTGCTGGCCTGGGGGCCACCAAGGCCCTCTTCTCCCCTGCTGCCTCCAAGCAACTCTTTTCCACGTTTCTTAAACAGTGAGAATTCTGCCCCATTTAAGCAGTCTTGTAGAGATGTATACATAAAATGGTTATGCTTTCTAATACTCACCTAGTGGCCTGTGTCTTTACATAAAGAAGTTCATACTCATCCAAAATGCCTTCAGATAGTGCTTTTCCATACTGTTCATGATTCCAGAACATCTTAGCATTGCATATATCCAACTGCTTTGTCTTCTAGTAAAAATAACAATGAATTTCTCTAAATTGTTCATGTTTACTTTACACACGCCCAATGACCCTAAGAGCCCCAATTAGATGCTTCTAACTTTAAACGTTTGTTCTTTCTTCAAAAAATAAAATATAGCAATTATTATACTATAGGACACCTATATCTTTGTCATTAGGAGGGTGAGGTATTTGAGGATTCCATACTTTATTATCTGTTAGGAATGGAGGAAAGGTGAAATAAAATATTGGGTCAAGTTTTAAGTTGACATATTCACAATCTTGTGTATTTGTGGTGAGGGGGAGTTTGGCAGCTGGTTGATATGGGTATCCAAACTCTGGACCTTGGTGTTACAACACGGTGCTCTAACCAACTGAGTTAACCAGCCAGCCTAAAATCTTGTGTATTTTCATTTTAGCATGCTCCTTTTGATGCAATGGTTATGGTGAACATCAGCTATTATGTTGATGAGAAAATTTTAGAGAATGAAGGAAGATGGAAGGTAAGTTAGAACAAATACTTCATCCTTTCTCCCCTAATATTTTTTATAGATGAAATATTTTGAAGTCTTTCCTATTTTCAGGGTTCAGAAAAAGTGCGGGATATACCACTTCCAGAGGAGCTTGTTTTCACTGTGGATGAGAAAGTATTAAGTGACATCAACCAAGCTAAAGCCCAGTATCTCAAGCAGGTAGATTTTTCACTTTTCTCTTAGATAGTACTACTTTCTCTTTTAACTACCATGTATGAAAATTTGGCTATCATCCAAGCATGTCAGTATAAAACATTTAAAAATCACTGTTTTGATACCTTTAATTCTTTATGTCTGATGATTACTTGAATGCAAATGATAATTTGGTTCTCGTTGGGGTGTTTTCCTTAGGTGGTTTTTCACTGTTCCCATTTCTTTTTGTTAGGCATCTGATTTGCAGATTGTGTCATATGCCTTTACATCTTTTGGCAAAAAGCTTACCAAGAAGATGATGCTTCACCCTGATACATTTATTCAGCTTGCACTTCAGCTGGCCTATTACAGACTTCATGGACGGTGAGGACCATTAATTTTCCGTTTTCAGAATCTTGAAGTCCAAGGGTATCTTTTCCATAACCATTCCTTCCTAATTCCCTAGTGTTTTTTTCCTCACCTTTTTCTCAGTTGGCACTGTGTGCTGCTTTGTTTTTTTGTTTGTTTGTTTGTTTTTGTGACCGGTAAGAGGATTGCAACCCTTGGCTTGGTGTCGCCCGCACCGCGCTCAGCCAGTGAGCGCACCAGCCATCCCTATATAGGATCCGAACCCGCAGCGTCGGTGCTCCCAGCGCCGTACTCTCCCGAGTGAGCCACGGGGTCGGCCCTACTTTTTATTAACCTCAATAGTATTTTAGAGCTTCAATCTGTGATAGTTTCACAGTTTTTCCTTGATAATTTTGAAGTGTCTGTTCTCTTCTGAGAGAGGTTTTGTCACTCTTTTGGCATTCAAAGTTTTCCTTTGACCTCATTTTCTGATGGGTTCATGGAAAGTTATAATTTTGTAGATTAAACAGCCTTTACTCATTTTTAGGATAGGGGAGACAGTATATTGTGACTTTCTGCATCCTAATTAAAAGCAAGATCTACATCTCCTTCATCTTGCTTTTTAATCTAATCTGAGAATATCTGTCTTTAAATGTGATCTACATAATTTACATTCAATATAATTATCAATGAAGTTGGGTTTAAGTCTACCATCTTGCTGTTTTTCTCCTTATCCCATCTATTCTTTGTTCTTTTCTTTCTTATCTACTTTTGAATTCTTAGAATGGTTTTTTTTATTGTTCCTTTTTATCTCCACTGTCAGCTATATATATATTTTTTTTTCTAATAGTTACACTAGGGTTTACAAAATACATCTTTAACTTATCACAGTCTAACCTTCAAATAATATTTTCCACTTAAGTATAATGTAAGAACCTTAAAACAGAATGCTTCTATTTCCCATCTCTCATTCTTCATTGTACTATTGTTGTTATACATTCTTCTTGATCCTTGTGGTATTGTGTTGCTGTCAATTCATTTGAAGGAGCAGTCACTTCCAGTCTTTACCAACTGGTTTCAGCATGTAATGACCATCGCCTGCTTGGTCCCTGGGTGGAAAGGACTGCCTCAAGGATTGTGGTTGTGCAGGGCTGGAGACAGGTCATGGGGCTGCTTCTGTGTCCTTAGTTCAGAGGTCAGTGGACCTACTACTGGGGTGTAGGCAAGCATGGCTCCTGCCCCATCCCTGGGCAGATGTGACCGCCTCTAGGATCATGGTTGAGCAGGGTTGGAGCTGGGTTATGGGGCTGCTTCTATATCCACAGTCAGGTGTGCAGGTGGTAGGTCTGATACCAAAGGGAGCAGGTGGTTGTGGCACTTTTCAGGTCCCCTATACAGGGACTTCCTCCAGGTCCCTGGACAAGCAGGGCTGGAGTTGAGTCTCAAAGTGGATGAGGCTGCTTCCAGGACTGGAGTCAGGTCCACAGTGGCAGGCCTGCAACTGGGCTGCAGGCCTGCCTTCTCAAAGCTGCTTTCTTTGGTCTTGGGCTTCACCAAGGTTTCACAGCCTCCTACCTGGATTTCATAGCTTCTGCAAAGTCAGTATTGTCTATGGGTGGTTACCAAATCAGTGTTTCTATGGGGGGAGAAGGACTGGGGATGTCATATTCTGTCACCTTGCTGACATTACCCTGTGGGTCCATTTTTATAATTTTTTTTTATCTCTTGGTTCTGTCTTCAGTATGCCTGTTAATTTTTGATTGAGTGTTGAACATAGTTTAAGGAAGATTGTAGAAGAGTACTGTCCAATTGAAAGATAATGCAAGCCATAGTTGTGAATCTTATATATAGTTTTAAATTTTAGTTAGCCATATTTTTTAAAGAGGCAAAATTAATTTTAATAATACATTTAATCAAACATATCGAAATATTATTTCAACGTGTAAACTATAAAAATTATTAATGAGATATTTTCTTTTCTTTTTTGGAGTTGGCCTTTAAAATCTGGTGTCAATTTTGTATTTACAGTTCACTTCAACTTGGATTAGCTACATTTCATGTACTACCACATGCATTTAATAGCTACAGTACTGGACAGTGCATTTAAAGGCTCATATCAGTAATTGTCTTCTAGGGGGCAAAATTGCCTCCAGTTGAGATTTGGCAATGTCTGGAAACATTTTTGGTTGTCACAACTTGGGAGAAGTTGCTATTGGCATCTAATGGGTAAAGGCAAGTGATGTTGATAAACATCTTAAAATGTACAGGACAGTCTGTCAACAAAAAATTATTCAGTCAGAAATGTCACTAGTGCTAAGGTTGAGAAACCTTGCTCTACGTAATGTTGTTTTCCTTCAAAGAAGATTTTTTTTGTACCTTCTGGTGGGCAGGTGAGTGGAGAACCCGTCTTCATCCAGTCAGTGGTTGCACTGATTCTAGGCTGTATTTTAGAGTCTTTTAGTCCAGTCTATTTCTATTTCCCCTTTTTCCTATTGTAAAGTCCTAGGGTGTTTACCAGGGCACTTCTACTGTAACAGGCCTTAAACTCTTCATTTTTATCTCCCTAGAACCATGAGACTACTAATTGCTTCAGTTATCTTCTGAGTCTCTAAGCAATCACTTCCTCCTTGGTCTCTCCACCTTTTAACCTGCTCCAGGTACTAGTCAGCAAATGCCTCAAGGGAAGAGAGACTCAGATTGTCAAGCTCAGATCACTGGGCTTGCCTTTTTATCTGAAATCTTGGGTCTCACATCCTGGCCGCCTTGTTTACCCTAAACTCTAATTTTATCAGCCTCATGAAATTACCAAAAGCCCTGTTCAATTTCTTTGCCTCTTAGCAGTAATTTTCTATTCAGTTTCTCAACTTTTCTGCTCATGTGTCTTATGGGACATCAACATAGCATTAAATAAGTTGCCTTAGTTCAAAGAGTTGCTCTTCTCTCTAGATCTTTGCCATCATATCCTGGCTACCTTGGCAATTCTACAAAGCCTTCAAACAGATTGATTTTTTAATTTTTAATCCACTTTTTGTTGTAGGACTGGCTTGCTACAAGATAGCCCATCATAGCTGGCATTGTAAATTTCACATAGTATTTTTTTTAGACAGGAGGTATGTTCACATCAGGCTCCAAATAAGTTTTGTACATTGCATTTCATTGATATATCTCTTAAGTCTTTTTCAACTATAAGAATTCTTTCCCCTACCTTTTTCTTTTTGCATTTTATTTGATGAAGAAACCAGGTCATTTGTCCTATAATTCTACTGAATTTTCCTAATTATATCCCCGTGGTGTTGTTTAACATGTTGCTTAGTCACCTGTATTTCCTGCAAACTGGTAGAACTAAAGACTTGAGAATAGGAATCATTTCTTATTTTTTACAACAACTGTAAGCAAATAGTTAATGCTATTCGTCTTCTGTTTCATCTTGTTACGATTGAGAATGGGTTCAGTTGTAAGCCAGCATTCATTATAAAGTTTTCTACCTGATTTTTTTTTACTTAATGCTTTAGTAGCAATTAATGATCATTACCAAGATCTAGTATTTCATTAGTGGTTGTAGAGTGGTGATAATTTTATCATTCACTTTTACTGCTTTTATTTTTAGTGGTTTTTTTTCAAGAATGCTATTTTAGTGCTATTTAAAAATTTTATTTATGCTTTCTCCACATTTTGAAAGGATACCATTTCACCTCAGAGATAGAAACACTGAACAGAAAGGCTCAATAACTGTTGAGCCTTTCTAGTGGGCTTTTCAGTTCAGACCTTTTCACTCTCATTCCATCTCTTTGACTCTAAATTCTAACCACCGGGAAAGTAAGAATGTTTTATATCTAAAATTGTTATACCATTCTCCATCCCAGGAAAACAGATGTTACTCTGGGGAACTTCTTAAAGCATGTACTTATTTCTAGTCTTTCATGTTCTGTAAAGAAACTAAAGGCCAAGGACTCTGTATTATCTAGTTCTGTGTAACAAATTACCCCAAAACTTAGTGAAACACAAACATTTATCATCTCACATTTTCTGTGGGTCAGCAATCCAGGCTCAGCTGAGTACCTCCCATTTAAGGTCAGAGTGTTGTAGTCAGAATGTCAGCCAGGGCTGTGTTTTCATATGAAGGCTCTGCTGAGGGTGGATCCATTTCCAAGCTTACTCACATGGCTATTAGAAGGATTCAGTTCCTTCCTAGCTGTTGTCCAGAGGGCCTCCCTCAGTTTTTTGCCCATAGGGCAGCCTCCAGCATGGCAGCTGGCTTTCCTCAGAATGAGGAGGTAAGGGAGCAAAAGAGAACGCTCTTTGTAACCTAATTTCAGATGTGACATCCCATCATTTTTGCTGTATTATCTCCATTAGAAGCAAGTCACTAAGACTGGCTCCATAGTCAAGGTAAGGGGTTACACCAGAGCATAAATAGCAGGAGGCAGGGATCACTGGGGGCCACATCAGAGGCTGCCTAGCATAGATTGCAATATATGTAACCTGACAGTGCCAAGCCTTTGAAACAATTCGTATTTTCAAAGTTTTTTTTTTTTTTTCTCTTTGGTGTAGAGAACAGCCTCTTTGTTATTGAAAGTCTTAACTCTAGTCTGTATTATAGGGCTTAATCTCTGAAGAAAGCTAAGCTTTCTTAGGTAACTGTATTTGTAATGACATTAGCATACTTTATTTCTTACAGTAACACTCTTAATTTTTTCTTGTAGCCCTGGTTGCTGCTATGAGACAGCTATGACACGATATTTTTATCATGGCCGTACAGAGACTATGCGATCATGTACAGTAGAAGCCGTCAGCTGGTGTCAGACCATGCAGGACTCTTCTACCAGCGTGAGTATTAGGCAGGAAAGCAATTCACATGATTTATTTAATTGTTCTAAAAGAAACTTGGTCTTCGAATAACTGACTACTTTGCTTCAGTTCCCTTGGACTATTAAAATACTTAGACACCTTTTCTGAAGTTTTCAAAGCATTTGCTCATTTACCAGTGAAATGTGTACTTGGAAAGACTAAGAGGAAGATCTGAAAAGAAACCCATTTATGTCATTTTCTAGGCAAAGTATCTTCAGTACTTTGAGTTATTTCAGTACTACTGATCTACCTTTAGAACAAAACCAGTAGAGTGTGGAGCTCCCCCAAAGGGCCTTTATTTTGTTTTATTTTATTGGTGGCTGACTGGTACAGGGCTCAAATCCTGGACCTGGGTGTTATCAGCAGTCAAAGTGCTTTAAAGGGAAGCTTTTCTTGATGTGGTTGAATGTTTTTGAAATCACAGATTCTTATTTTATACACTACAACCAGAACATTTGTGTATGTTTTGCTTTATACTCTTTTTTTTGAAGCATTTAGATAATAGTGTATTTTCTTCCCATTGCTATTTTGGTATTTCGTTTGTTTCTTTCATTTTGATAGACATGGTTGTGTATGTATTAATTTATTTTCATTTCCTAGAACTGCTTCATTGTCCTTTTTGTAGTTACACTTTAGTTTTAGAATCCCAATTGTTTCTGTCTTTACACTTGTTAATTTTATTTCAGTGTTGCCCACAAGTTCCTATTTTCCTATTCCAGGAAATAAATAATCAAGTAGGGCAACATAGGGAAGAAAAGGCAATAGAAGAATTAGAGAAAATAGAAGTATGTGTCTCAGGTCTTCCTAGAAATCTTTGCTCTGCCAAATTACCCAGATTGTAATTAAACGAGCTCAGGTTTTTGTTTTTTGTTTGTTTTAGTTGGGTTTTGTACAGTTTGTTATCGAAGTGTCTCTGGATTTTTATTCCAGCTTCTTGAGCGGCAAGAAAAGATGTTACAAGCTTTTGCAAAGCATAATAAAATGATGAAAGATTGTTCAACTGGAAAAGGTATATATGTTGAATTTATTCTGACTTAAAAAAAAAAAAGTCTCATGTTGAAAGTTTTTTTTCTAACTTCAGATTTGGGGTTTCATTACAGGATTTGACCGTCACCTTTTAGGTCTTTTACTCATAGCAAAAGAGGAAGGTCTTCCTGTTCCAGAACTCTTTACAGACCCGCTTTTCTCCAAAAGGTAATATGGTATAGTGTTTTATAAATTCATCAATCGGTTTATTTTTTTTCTGAATGTTTTAAAAGCTTTCCAGAAGCAATATAAGAATCTTTCAAGGCCTAGTAAAATATCCTTTCTTTGTGTCACACAGTGGAGGAGGTGGAAATTTTGTTCTCTCAACAAGTCTGATTGGTTATTTACGAGTCCATGGAGTGGTGGTTCCCATGGTACATAATGGATATGGATTTTTCTATCAAATCCGAGATGACAGGTGAGGCTGCTCTTTTTCATTCTTACTATGCTGTAGAGTAAGAAAGGCATCACTTTTGTTATTTGAATGTCTTTCCTATACTGTGATTCTGACTATGTTGTCACCTGTCATGTGCTATATAAATAACTATTTTTACCTACTTTGGCATTTAATGTATATCTCTCTGTCCTGCTTTCGAGACACTTGTCAAATCAATCCTTTAGGTATTTTTATGCAAAACAGTTTCAGGTTGACTCAGTGATCATATTATTTTCCTCAAAATCAGTACACTCTTTTAATACATTTGGTCTATACAAGGGATTTTATGGTTGAGTTCAGATGACATTTGCAAATATATGTGGTTCATAAACAATACAAATGAGGCAAAGAGACTAGGTAAATCAATTTATATTAAAAAAGAATGTTTAATCAATTTCATTTCATTTAGGTTGTGTGGGGTTCAACTTATATTTATGGAAAGAGTGAGAAAGGAAAGATTAAAATCTGGCATAGGAAAAAGTAGTGGAGAACAAGGTAATATGAAAGTAATAGCAAGGCTTGGAAGGTCCTCATTCACAGAGTCTGGCAGTCTCTTCACAGGGGTCCTTCAAAGCATGAGAGGCTTTGTTTAAAAAAAAAATAATGTGACTACATTTAGCACTATGTGAATAAAAAAAGGGCAGACTCGGAGGCACTTTAGATAGAATGTGAAAAATTGGAATGATATTATGCATGACAAACTTAAGTTTGTAATATTTTTATATTTTTCCATTTTTAAAGAGTTTGCAGTTTTCGGGTTTTTTTAGTTTTGTCATCTGTTTCCATATGAAGTGTGATTTGTGCAGTCAGTTATATCAGTGGTGCTTCTTGTTGGCCTCCAAGTCCTTGGATTATGTATTCCCATAGTATTCAGTTTGTGTACATCAATGTACAAATTAAAGGTTAAATGATAAAGATTAGACATGGACCATATATTTTTTCATAAAAAAGGGTCAGCGGTCTAAAATCCTCATACACAGAAGATAAGTAAGCATTCTCACATATTCCTTGACAGGTAGTGGATTCTGTGTTGTATGCAGTGATACAAGTTCAGGCCACATACACCTCAGCTTTCTTACTTTTAGAAGACTATATTATTAATGATCATGGGGCATAACTTCCACTTACTCAGTCAGGAAATATTTAGTGAGAACTTACAGTGTGCCAGGTATTGTTTTAGGTGCTAAGGACACAAGACAGGCAAGATCTCCTATCTTATAGATTTTACTTTTTACCTGGGGAAAAGAGACAGAAGCAAACAAATAACCAAGATAACTTCAAAAACTATTCTTTTTTTCCCCCTTGATGGCTGGCTAGTACAGGGATCTGAACCCTTGACCTTGGTGTTATAATACTGCACTCTGACCAACTGAGCTAACTGGCCAGCCCCTAACTTCAAATAGTCATGAATGCTATGCAGGAAATAAGCAAGTTGATGTGGTAATAGAGATTAGTAGAGAGATGGAGCACTGCTTTATACAGTGTGATCAGGGATGGTGTGTTAGGAGTAACAGTGAAGCTGAGATGTTAAGGATGAGAAGGGAATTAATCACATGAATAGTCAAGGAAACAGCTCTCCAGACTCTTTTTTTTTTTTTTTTTGTCTTTTTTCCGTGTCCGGCTACGGATCGCAACCCTCAGTGTTGCCCCCGTACCGGACCGGGGACCGGCGACGGGATCGCAAGCCTCGGCCTTGCTCCCGCGCCTCGCTCAGCCAGTGAGCGGGAGCCGGTCTGTACGTGGGATCCGAACCCTCGGACGGGAGCGCTGCCGCGCTTCCCAAGCGGCGCACTATCCAGTGCGCCACCGGGCCGGCCCCAGCTCTCCAGAATCTAACCACTGTTTACTATCTCCAGTGCTACCACCCAAGCCAAGCCACGCCTTCTCCCACTTAGGCTATCGCAGCAGGTTCCTGTGTGGTCTTCTTGCTTCCACCTCTCTTTCCCTATAGACCATTCTGTACACAGAAGCCCTGGTGGTCCTTTTAAAAATGTAACTCAAATTATGTGTCACTCATCTACTCAAAACCCTATCCCATTTCAACCACTTAGACTGTGTGTGTGTGTGTGTGTGTGTGTGTGTGTGTGTGTGTGTGTGTGAGAGAGAGAGAGAGAGAGAGATCAATCTTCTCTTCCTAGAATATAAGCTTCACAAGAACAGGGTCTTTGTTGTTATATCCCCAGCACTGTAACAATGCCTCGTAAATATGTGGCACTCAGTAAATGTTTTAAAAATTACTTTGTCATTGAACATAAGTATACAGGTCCTGGGATAGGAAAGCTTGGCATTTAAAGGGAACAGAAAGAGGCAATATGGCTATAAAGTAGCAATTTGAGGGAGAAGGTGATAAAAGATGAGATTTTTAAAAGGTAGACGAGCTAAATCTTGTAAGGCAGTGTTGTCAGCCTTGAGTGCACATCAGAATAACCTAGAGAGCTTTAAAAATATATACTCCAGTTTGGTTGGTGCAGTCAGTTGATGTAGGGCCTTGTAACAGGGTAAGGAGTTTTGATTTTCTCCTAAGAATAATGGGAAGCATTTTACGAGCTTTAAGTGCGGAAGTTTCGTGTTTTATTTGCATGTGAAAAGGATCATTGACTGCTATATGGAGTATAAATTAGGTAGACAGTAACAAGGACAAGGATGAGATGAGGGAAATCAGTTAGAAAGCAAGGATGATGATGACTTAAAACAAGGCTGTTGATAATGAAAGTGGAGAGAAAGGGAGGACTTGAGATACTTTAGAATTGGAACCAGTAGGACTTACTAATGGAGTGCTGATTCTGATGGAGGCATTTACTGAGATGGAGAAAATTAGGGGGAAAACTGGTTTGGAGGCATGTTAGGGCAGGAGCAAGAATTTTGTTTTATACAGATTGATTTTGAGAGTTCTAATACAGGAATTTATTATATTTATATGCAAAAGGTTATGTCAGTAGGCAGTGGATACATGAGTGGAGCTCAGAAAAGAGGTTAGGGTTAGAGGTATGTATTTATGAGTTGTTACTACAATACGCCCAAAATAGTTTTCAAATGAAATACATGAAAATTGTCTGGCAGGGATTTTTCTTCATTTGTTGTTAAAGTTGAAAATTGTATGACTTAAAGAAAATTGGTTTATTTTAAAATGCATTTTATTTTAAATGTACTACATGCTCACTGTAAAAATTTGTAAAATATGAAAAAATATAGGAACAAAAGTATCTACATATCCATCAAAAGGCACAAGATTATTATTGTATTATGCTTTAAATCTGTAATGTAGATTGTGCGTGTAATTTTTACAAATTTAAATCATGTTGTAAATATTTTTGTGTCCTTTTTGTGAACTTCATTCTCATGCTATACTATTTCAAGCAATTCCCAATGCCATTGAATATTCTTTGTGATATTTTAATGATTGAATAATTTTCCATCTTATGAATTTCCATAATTTATCTAACTGCTTCCCTACTATTTTTTTTCCATCATGACAAATAATGTATAATGTTAGAAGTAATTCTTCCTCATTTTATCACACCATTGCCATCTCTAGGTATTATGCAACATTCTTTACAAATTTGATAGGCAAAAATTGAATTCTTTGTTTTTTCATTGTTTGTTTCTGTGTTTCGTGAATTGTCTGTGTGTAGAGGAAAGGTTATTTCTATAATTTAGAAAGATAACTGAATTTTTTAAGATTTTAACAAATTTAAAATTTTTTTAAATTTTAACAAATTAGGAATTGTTAACCTGTGGAAAGAAACATATTTAGATGTTGCTAAATATTTGGGAATTTCATGCACAGTATAGTTGGAAAATGACTTAGTGATCATGAATCACTATGTGAAAATAAGGCAGGGTTTCCTAAAGGTTCCTGTATATCTTTCAACCAATATAATCCTCTCAACACTGATTTTTATCATTACATACAGGCCCAAAGCATGTTTTTATTTTATTCTGCTTAATCTAAAAGCACATATTAAAGACATAATTTACTGTCTTTTTTTGGTGATGTGAAATTATGTGGTTGTCCAGAAGCTTTATATTGCACATTTTGATTTTGAGCTTAATTTATGTTTTGCTATAGGAATTTCTGAATGTCTGGAAAGGGGAAGGCTGGTTCTAAGAAAGTTAGTAGTTCATTTTCTGCTCTGAGCCCACCAGAAGCCAATCTTCTCTCCTGTTTACTTCAGCTTCTGGGGTCACTTTTCTCATTTGCCAAATCTGGGATTTCTTCATCAGGGGGATCTTGGAGATGGTTTAAGGCAAGACTTGGTCCCAAGAGAGTTTCTCTCTGACTCTTCTAGAAATAGCTTTTCTTTCCTCTTCTCTATTATTATTTTTTTTAACTCTCTTCAAATGCTATCCTCTTCTTTAAAAACAATTCAAATTTCATTGCAAACAGTAGCATGAATTCATATTCCAACTCATTCCATTGGCACTTGAGGAAGGACTTTTTTAGGAAAGAGGTTTTTTGTTTTGTTCTATTTTAAAAATAATAAGACCTTGCTTCAGAGCACTCTTGAGCTCTAGCTAATTTTCTGTTGCCTTTGCCCTCAGGCTCTAGTCCTCTAGTGTACTAGGTGTTTCCTAACATTATCTATAAATATGGCTTTACCTTCAGTTGTGTCAGGTTGCATTTAGGTAATGTCAGCAAGAATTTGCATTTCAAATGTGAACAGCCAGGTGTAATAAAGGTCCTGATTTGGATAATTATTAATCATAATTATTAATCATTTTTTTCTTTTTTTTTTTCTTTTTGGCAGCTGACCAGTATGGGGATCCGAACCTGTGACCTTGGTATTATAAGGATGCACTCTAAACTACTGAGCCAACCACGTATCCATCATTAATCATTTATTTGTGTTTCACAGGTTTGTTGTGTCCTGTACAGCCTGGAAATCATGTCCGGAGACTGATGCAGAAAAGCTAGTTCAGCTGATTTTTGTTGCTTTCCATGATATGATACAGCTGATGAACACTGCTCATCTTTAGAGCCTAATCATTCATTAAGCACTTACCAAAATACATCATTAAACTGGATGCTGGCAGTAGGTTGGTAATATGAGATGGGGAGGAATGATGACTTAGTAAAGGAAACTTGTTAAATGTAGAAATAAGTAGAATCATGCTGTCTAAAATTATTCTGCCATAGCAGGTAGAATATTTTTAAACTTCCTCTGATGCAGCAGCAATGCAAACTATAATATAGTGAATACAGAACTATGCAATATTTAAAATAAAGCTCAACAATGCACATTTACAAATTTTAACTCTTAATTTTAAAATATTTTTGTTGGTACTTGTATAGGTTATAAATCCTCTCTCTGTACATCATTGTAGAATTCATCTTCCAAGCACTTTAACATTTTCTAGTTGCCAAAGGGTATGAAATACATGATTGGATGCTAACTTCCCTGAAATCAGTGCTTCCGCATTTACCGCAGGGAAAATAACTGTTTGGTGGGAAAGACCACTACAATCTAATGGTGATCTGAAATAGTTTCTTTTGAACAGACAGAATTAGGGTATAATAGGGAGATTTACACCCTCTAACACACACAAAAAACCCTAAAAAATTAATTATGGTATATTGTAATTAGCTTTGTGAATATAAAAATAAAAGTTCTATTTAAAATTAATTGTTATAGTTAGTGACTTTTAAAGAATTAAATGTTGAATTGAATTCTCAGGATTTTAGTTTGTTTTTTCTCCTTGCTGTTGAATTTTATAGTTTCTATTCTCAGAAAATAAAACTCCCCAAATCATATAGCTTCTTGTTTTGTGTTTGAATCCTGGTGTTTTCCTTGCCCTTTCTGATCTGTAACATATTGCTGTGTAATAAACCACCCAAACCTTGTGTATTACAACAATTTATTAATTTCTTATGATTGTGTCAGTTGATTGTGCCCAGCTAGACAGTTCCTTTGCTGGTCTTGCCTGAGTTTATATAGGTGTAATCATCATGCTGTTAGGACTGAGGCTGGAATGTCTAAGATGGCCTCACCCACTGTCTGGGGACTTGGTGGCTGGGACTTTATCACCACATGGCCTTCGATTATTCATTATTCAAGACTGGGCTTCCTTACTTGGCAGTGGGAGTGTTCTGAGAGGCAAAGGGGGAAATTGCAAGGTCTTTTGAGGCCCAGGCTCTAAAGCCACATAATGTCACTTCTGCTGCAGTCTGTTGGTTGAAACCAGTCACAAGGGAAGTCCAGATTCAAAGAATGGGGAGGAAGTCTCATCTCTTGATAAAAGGAACAAAGTAACTTTGTAAAAGTTGGCACAGAGGGCATGATTTATTGAGGGCAATTTTTATAGTACTCTACCACACGTTTTAATATAAAGATTAAAGTATACTTAGTGTATTGGTTGTATACAATCTTTTAAAAACATTTTCATATGTTCTGAATTTGATAAGACTGGTTTATCATCATCGTCAACCATAATAACCAACATATAAGCCCTTTACACTGTGCCAGGCTCTGTCCTGAGAAGTGCCAGTACTATTTCTTTGTGAAAACATTCGGAATTGGCTTCTGTGGCTTTTGATACACCCTTCATAGTTGCTACAGAATAGGAAGGTGAAATCTGACCTACGGACCTTTTTCCTCAGTAGTGTAGTTTTGTAGACCAGATAGCCAGGACATTTAGAAGCATTTGGTTAGTTTTAAATATCTAATGAGTTGGGTATTTTGGAAATTGCTTCACCTCCTGCAGAGAATCCTCACTCATACTTTGATATACTTCCCTAACTTGCCTCAAGTTAAAAATGACCTGGAGTGCTTTCCCAAAAATAGATTCCTGGACCTCAGCCCAGACCTACTGAATCAATCAATCTCCAGGGGCAGGTGCCCCATGATCCTTATCAGGCAAGTTTGGGAATAATTATACAAGAATAGATTGAACAATGCTCACTTTCAGTCACTGTAGTAATGTCCTCTTTGTCCCACTCTTGTCTTGGTTAATCTGAAATTTAATCCACTTATATACATGGTCACATTTAAAAAATTCTTTGGTAATATCTGGTTTATTACTGATAGAAGAACTTGGTTTGGATAGTTTACTGATCTAAACAACCTGTTACAGTAATAACTGATATTGCTGCAGAAAATTATGGAGAAAACAGGGAAAATTATGGAAAAAACATTTCAGTATGGTTTGCTTCCAAGGGTTACCTAGAATATTTCTTTTTGCTTTCTAGCTAAATAAATCCTTGTAGGAAAAGTGAGTTAATTTTCTGGAAAAAGACATTTGTAAAAAAAAAAAAGGCAGTGCAGTTGCTATAGAAATAGCATTTATCATTGGTTTTTCCAGTGTTTCAAATTATATCGAGAGAATTGTACATTTTAAATTAATGTGTTTTAAACAGTTATTTTTTTTTGTTTTGGGAAGCTGGCTAGTATGAGAATTCTAACCTATGACCTTGGGTGCTACAAGGCTGTGCTCTAACCAACTGAGCTAACTGGCCAGGCCCCTGAGTTTTAAACATTTTTAAAAAATGCTTAAAGATATGGCTCTTTCTTGCTTTATGGGACAAATATGTTCTTGCAAAGTTAGTCTAAGGGCAATTTCATTTTCTCTTAGATTTGAATGATAAGCCTGGGAATACATTCATTTAAAAAGTTCAGTTCCACAGTAGAATTATTTAGACACTCACCAAGGGAAAGATTAAGCTATTGAACAATTTATCTTTCCTTTGTACTTGGGAAAATTGTTCCCAAACCATCCTGTCATCTGCCCACCTAGACAGGACCATGTCTGTGAAATTTTATTCCGTCTGTGACTTCTACACCTAGATGGCAATACTTCAAAAAGTTGATTCATATTATCTTTATTTTTCCATGAAATTTTTGGAGTACCCCTCATATGTAACTAAACGTTGTGCCACTTTTCTCTGGCTGTTTCTTTTCTTTTTTTTTTTTTTAAAGATGACCGGTAAGGGGATCTTAACCCTTGACTTGGTGTTGTCAGCACCACGCTCACCCAGTGAGCAAACCGGCCATCCCTATATAGGATCCGAACCCGTGGCCTTGGTGTTGTCAGCACCACGCTCACCCAGTGAGCAAACCGGCCATCCCTATATAGGATCCGAACCCGTGGCCTTGGTGTTGTCAGCACCACGCTCACCCAGTGAGCAAACCGGCCATCCCTATATAGGATCCGAACCCGTGGCCTTGGTGTTGTCAGCACTGCACTCTCCCGAGTGAGCCACGGGGCCGGCCCTCTCTGCCTGTTTCTAATAACCCAGGGAGAGTAAGGCTGCTATTTTTATACCTCATCAAGACAGGTGCCATTTTTAACTTTCAAATTTCAAATGCTGTATTATTTCCTTTTTGGCTGCTGGCCAGTACAGGGATCAAAACCCTTGACCTTGGTGTTACCAACACTGCACTCTAAACAACTGAGCTAACCAGCCAGCCCTTTGTACTATATCTTATGATAAACTAGAAACTTCTTTTACAAGTCAAAGTTGTAAAATGATTTGAATTTATTTTTAAGATATACTGTAACAAGAGTTCATAAGTTCTGTGTTCCAGCCTGAACATTGACCATTGAAAAATAGATGCCTCTCGGAGCAAGCAGCTGTTGGTGCGTTCCGTGCTCCTTGACTTTGCCGGTCTGAAACACCACTATTAAGTCTGCGTTCTGGATGGTGGACAGGCGGTGAGCAATCACAATGCAGGTGCGGCCTTCTTGAGCTTTGTCTAGGGCTTCTTGGACAACCTATTGATAAATCAAACAGAAGCCTTATCTTACAAATTGCATGAATAAGTAGTAACATTAAAAGAAAGCAAAATTTTACCATCCTAATCAACTTAATTTCTAGTATCTTTGAATGTTTTGCTTTATGTATGTGTATTTTACATAATTGACATCTACATATAAGTTATGTTCTGCTTTTTTAATTATAATACAAATAGACTCCCATGCTATAAATAATCTTAACAAGTATATTAAACATATTTTATTTAACTAGTTCACTTTTGAGTATTTTCCAGCTTTTTATTATAATAATGTGCTAAGATGTGATTAGGATGCTTTTTTTCTTTTGAATGCTTTACTTTTCTCCTATTTATAAAAATAATGTGATCATTTTTTTTCATGTCCGGCAACAGGATCACAACCCTTGGTGTCGCACCCGCACCTCGCTCAGCCAGTGAGCGGGAACCGGTCTGTATGTGGGATCCGAACCCTTGGCGGGAGCACCGCCGCGCCCCAAGCGGTGCACTGTAGCAGTGCGCCACCGGGCCGGCCCAATGTGATCATTTTTGAAAAACTGGAATAAAATAAGAAAATATTCTATTACCTCAAAATACCACCATCTAAATTTCTGTTTACTTTTTTTTCCCATGTGTTTACATTGTTCCCCCCATGGTTGACAGCAAAAAACCTTATATTTTATAAATTAAAATAAAAGGTGAGAGGCCACACCTTTTCACTTTCATTATCCAGAGCTGATGTAGCTTCATCCAACAGTAGGATATGAGGTTGTCTGATGAGAGCTCGAGCGATAGCAATCCTCTGTTTTTGACCTCCTGATAGCTGAGTCCCCTTATCTCCCACTCTTGTTTCATATTTCTGCAAGGTAGCCATTGATAAAGTTAATAAAGTTCTAACCAGAAAAATTGCTAATGGTGTACTGGATGAACTTTTACTTAACATTTGACAGTTGTGTTTACAAGGAAAACATTTAGAATCAAAAGTTTCTATAACAAAATAGTTGTTCATTTAATATTTTTTTCAACTTAATGGTCGTTTTCAAAATCAAAGTAGAAAACGAATATCTTTAGTTCCAATGGTATTCTACAATTGAAATTTGAGCAACAATTATTGAAATCCTGCCAGTATCATAATGCCAATTGATCTGATGTCACTGGAGTCCTAAAAAGGTTAAATGATAATACTTTCAAGGTTTTTTTAAAATTTGAAATATTCATATGACTCACAGACTAGCTTATTCTCTTTAAACTCATTCATTCACTTCAAAATTTACTGAGTATCTGCTATGCTTAGCACTGTGGGAAATATAAAAATGAATTCAGTTCTGTTCCTGCCCTGAAGGAATTTATAATCTAGAGCAAAAAAAAAAAACATATATAAAGCACTCAATATAAGGTCAAGTAACTACCAAATTAGTACACACAACATACCATGAAAAATCAGAAGTGGGAGATAGAAATTGTTATGGGGACAAGGTAGAAGAAGGAGTAAAAAGGGGAAATAAATGAAGGAAAAACCTTTCTAGAGAAGTTTGGGAAGCTGG